TTCTTCTCGCCCTCGCCTCGGCTTCTCGAGGACGGCTTGGCGGCGTCTCCGTGTCGCTGCTGGTACTTCTTCTTCAGCACCACGTACGACACGCCGCCGTCCCGCTTCACCACCGTGGCCACGCCGTTCACGTAGCGCTTGAAGAGCTCGCGGTTCCGCGCGCGCGCCCTCTCGTCCTCCTCCTCGCGCAGGAAGCGCGTGAAGTGAGTGAGGAGGTCGGCGTTGCGCGCGCTCCCTCCGCAGCCGAGCAGGAAGCGCAGCACCGAGTCCTGGGTGAAATCCGTGGCCATCGCTCGACGCCTCCTTCTCGGCGTTTCTCCTCGTCTTCAGCGTTCTGTTTCTCTTTCTCCTCCGCCGAAGCTCACCGTGAAGTGCGGAGGAGTGGAGGCGGGAACTGGGAGCTCCACCCAGGGGTGAAACAACAGCTCCACCTGCTCCGCTCACCTGGCAGACGAACATGGAGCCACAGCGGCTGGATTGGTAGGAGGTGGGTTAGAGGAGCAGCAGCCCTCCAGCTTAAAACACTCCAGCTTAACTACGAAGCTAAAGTCTTTTTTGGAATTTTCCCGTTCCACCTTAAATGGTGCAGCAGTTACGTCCTGGCGCCTGAGGCCAGAATGTAGCTGCTGCACCATTTAAGGTGGAACGGGAAAATTCGAAAGGGAAGCCTGAATTTCCCTCAGGCAGGAGAGAAACCTGTAAATAAAGGTCAAGTGTGGCTAAACGTTCTCAACCCAAGTATTCTTAAAGGGGAACTCCACCAAAATTGTAAAAATTCTCAGTAATTAAACGCTTAAGATGTAAACAGAGTCATTCAGAGTGGTTTGGTGTGAAACGCTCCGTTCTAGAGAAACTTACAGACTCAGAACTGTTCACAGTAGTGGTGATAGGAACCAGACGTCCACCTCTAAAAGCTCCCTCACAGAAAGTTACTACATGAAATGGTGGTGAATGCACTGCCTGATGTCTGAGACCTTTATGGTTTTGTGGTAAAGTTTTGGCCTAAAACGTATCTTCATCAGTTTATTGTAACCCATTCATGGCGGAGGAGTACATGAAGGGTGTTGTAAGGCAAAATAGTCCCCAAAGAAAACTTATTATTTTAAGATTTACCACTATTTTACCATCATCAACATTCCATATCGCTGCTGTCGGAACAAAACCTCACAATGGTAACTATACAGGAGAAGGTAAGTCAATGGAACCAGACGTCTTTCCGAGTCATTCTGGGATGTTTATTTTGGTCTGTTCATCATGAAATTTACACACAATGTAAAGAGCAACAGGCAGTTTGAAATTACGCCAAAACTGAAAAACAACAAAAATGGAGATATGAGGTTTTGTTCCGACAACAGCGATATAAAAATTCAGAGGACACTGGTTGTTTTGGATAGTAAGTTAAATGCCTGTATTTGTGTTCTCTACAACGGACATGGATGGGTTACTGTACAGTCCAGTGGGGCCAGTGCCCTCTGACCACAAGGCCTCAAATTTTTACATTATTGATTTGGTTGCTGTGATTAAAATCGGATGTTTTGCCCATTTTATACGCATAGGAATATTTCTGTTTCTGCATTATGGCTCAGTTTGGCTTTTGTCTTCATGTACATAAAACCTTACGCAAAGGCATAAACTCTTACAGTGTAAACACAATGGAACACTGCAAATCAATCAAAATCAACAAAAATGGAGATACGAGGTTTTGTTCCGACGGCAGAGATATAAAACTCAGAAGACTCGTGTAGGCCCACTGCTGGTTTTGTTTTCTTCACAGATATTCTTCAGCATCCTTTGGAAATACTCAGTGGGTCTTGTACTGGGTTGCACCTTTGTTCTGCATAATTCAGTGGTTGAGATGTAAACAGGGTCATTTGGATGGTTTTGGTGTGAAATGGTTCACTGGCAGGGATGGATCACGGTCATGCGAGGCCCCTTGGCACCAGCATCTTTGGAGAGTCCCCCGAACTCTTAACCTTTAACTAATGTGAAAAGTGAGATTAAGCTGTGGTTCATGTTTTACTTCATCAGCAGTGCAAACTTCCATCTTTTTTTGTTTTATGAACAAAATTAGCCTTAATAATGATTGATTTGCAGTGTTCCATTGTGTTTACACTGTAAGAGTTTATGCCTTTGCGTAAGGTTTCTATGTACATGAAGACAAAAGCCAAACTGAGCCATAATGCAGAAACAGAAACATTCCTATGCATATAAAATGTGCAAAACATCCGATTTTAATCACAGCAACCAAATCAATAATGTAAAAATTTGAGGCCTTGTGGTCAGAGGGCACTGGCCCCACCCCGTTAGGAGACACGAAGTCACCGGGTAGTTTGTGACTGAATGGGTAGTGGAATGTAGTTGCAGGCTGAGGATGTGACGACTCTGGATGATTCTTTGCAATGAGTGAGATTTATTTACAAGGTGAAACACACAAAAGAAAAACTGTACAAACACAAAGTAAATGGTAGGTAAAATGTTGACCCGACTCGATCAGTACAGGTAAGTATAAATAGTCTCAGGCCACAGGGCCACAGGACTATACTCTTTTTAGCTCAGCTCTTACTCCTTTCTTCTCAGTCTCCTCGCAGTCTGAGGTGAGTATCCTCGAGCTAGCCCCCTTCCCCTGCCTCTTATAGGGTTAGCCCCACCCCTGCATCACCTGAGCTGAACCATTCCACTCTGCAGGAGTGTTGCTGTCCTATAAGAGTGGATTAAGAACAAGGGTGAATAAAATCATAATTACATCTCTCAAGGTCTTGACGCGTGAATTACCGGTGGGACATTTCATACAGTGCGCGCATTGACTAGCCTGTCTCACTCTGTCTTCTGTGCCCTAGGTAGACACATCACCCCTCTCATGAGCTAGCCGTGGGCCCTCCGGCACGCTCATGAGTGACCTTCGTCTGCTCTGCCTCCCTTTTGCTGCTGGTGTTAGGAAACAGACGACAGGTGAGTATTATAGGTAGGTGTTCAGGTAACACACACAGTCCTCTGGTGATGGGCAACACGTTTGCCTCATCACAGCCCTTTAAATTGAGTGTAAATTTCTTTCATGATGAATGAACCAAAAGAATGAACCAAAAGAAATTTGAAAAAATTCTGGTTCCATTGACACATTAAAATGATGTTTTTAAAAGTATGTTTTTTATTTTGGTGATAGGCGAGGCGAGGTTTTATTCCAACCACACCGATGTGTAACGTTGATAATAATAAAATAGTGGTAAATGTGTGTGTGGTGGTGGTGGTGGTGGGGGGGGTCGGTTTGTACCTCTCCCACAAAAATGGACTCTAAAATCATGTATTAGGCCGCAACTTTCTCACAACTATCACAGAAGTATGTCAGTCATCAGGCAGCGCATTCATAACCGTTTCATTTGATGACTTTGTGAGAGGGAGCTTTAAGAGGCATCAAACTCTTCAGACGTCTGGTTCCCATCACCAACACTGGGAACAGTTCATAATGGTGCATTTCACTTCAAACCACTTATGTGGAAATTTTGAAAAAAAGTCCCTGTTAAACGTGTGTTCAGTCCTTACCACTCGTTTTACTACTAGTCTTACTAAACACTGTTGTGCTGCCTGTCTAATGAAACTAATTAAAGGGTTCACAGTGAACAAACATCATCATGATGGCAAATTTATAGCCAGTTAGTCAGCAAACTGAGATGGAAACACGAACATTCAGTCATTCTGTAAAAACATGGGCTGTAAAATACTGAGCAGAACAACAGGGCTGTTTCTGAATATTCGGGGGGCTCACACACCACCCATATTTTTTTGTGTGCTAGAGCAAGAATTAATCATAGGTTCTGATCAAGAAAAAGACTGGACGCTCTGCACTTTTTGAAAAATAATACTAAACACATTTTTAAAAATACGCCCTAAACCACTGCTTATACAACTTGCAGCTAAAGACAGCCCTGCAGAGCATCGTGTGCATGTTCAAACAAAATAAGAGTTTGAAGTACTGATCAGATCTGAACGTCTGTCCGATGCTGATCAGTTTTTGCAGATACTGATACAAATCCGATATTACAAATAAGGCTGTAAGCTAAACATAGTTATAGCCTTATTTGTCTGTGTAATAGTTAGGGATGCACAATGATATCAGAATTGTATCAGTATTGACAGAAAGTTCGATATTTCAAACCGATAACTGATGGTGTATTTATTGAACTCTAGAAGAGCTGAATGTTTGTGACACTGGGTTACTGCACTGAAGTATCTGCATTCATTTAACCTTCTAAACTCCTTGAGACCACCGGTGGTTCCAAAACGCACTTCGTCATATTCCTCATAACTTTCATATTTTATAAGCTACGTTCTAAAGGTGGGTGTCGTATGAGAGCTGTAACTGTCTTCTGTCCAGTCAAATAGATGGGTGATGTAGTTTTAAACCCTTATAATAAAAGAAGCTGAACTCAATTTTTTTGTCTACTGAAAGTCGACAAAAATAATACAAAGAGAGTCTAAGATTTTTGGCTTTCAGCAGTAAATTGTAGGCGTATAGCAATATGTATATGATCATAAATTATGTTCTGTTAATTTGAGGGGAGCTTTCACAAAAAATAAATTAATAAATAAAATAAAAATTTGCATTTATTTCATGCAGTTACTGAATAATTTGCCTTACGTTTTAATCATGTGAATTCAGATGGACAAACCAAAATATACCCACGAGCATAAGAGGTTAATACATTTGTGCCCTGCAAAAATAAATGTTTTATTTCTCCATAATACTGATCCAAGTAGATCTAGTCCAGATGTATCGGCACTGGAAAATACATACAAAATGTGGCGTGTGCTAAAGTTATGGCTCACTTTCTATTTTATGTTTTAATTAAACTCAGAAAATAAACAGAAATCGTGCACTAAAATTGGCTGAAAAATAACACTAAATTCTCTGTAGAGGACGAGTTCACTAAAATGTGTCATCTGAACTTTTGTCTACGACTGTATGTCGCCTGTCCACAAACACAAAGAAAGAAAAACTCCAGTCGTTGTCGCGCAGTAGACGGTTTTATTTTATTTGAACCTTCGCCTTGACGTTTCAGCAGTTTGGTCAGCCCTCGGCCCTCCAGAGCAGAACAGAGCCAGATGAAAGAGCAGGGAGGATCAGCAGCGAAAGGGAATGGTGATGCTCTAAAGAATTTTTTTCTTGCATTTCAACAAGTTTTGTGCATTTTTTTTCTTTCTTTTTTGTGTTAAAAAGATCCTACAGTTACATCGTCTCAGAACAAACACTGAACCGCTCTCCCACGCCTGCAGCCACGTGATGGAATGGCGTTTCACACTAATGCCACGTTAATGCTCTCTTAGGAGAAGTGATAGGGAGATTATCACCCTTCAAACAGCCACACGAACACACACACACACACACACACACACACACACACACACACAGAGTTAAACGTCTCAAACAATGGTCGAGCCATGAAGTGAAAGAGACCCGACAGTGGAGAGAGGAAGAGAGAGCTGGAAAAAGAGGGGAAGACAAATAAATCATAAATAAAGTTATATTACAATCTAGTACACGAAAATAAGTATTAATCTCCATTAATTCTAATTTCCTTTAACCCTGGCATTATAAACAATATTCATCCACACACGTCGTACATTCAGGAGTGCCATGCGCTTCATTGTAGACGAAGAGAAAAAGGACGCAGCACACTGAGAGGACGTAAAGGGGAAAAACACAAAAGATTATTTTAAAAATTCACAAACAGATAAATGAGACAAACGGCAACACTCACATATATATAAAAGGTAGATTTTCACCACAAGTGGGACGAGAGGGGGGGAGAAGTATTGCTACTTTTTGTGGAGATTTTTCCTTTATGTTGATTTTTTTTGTGTCATTTTTAAAAATAATTTTATAGTAAGGCTCATGAATGAACTGCAGCGTATGAACTATATAGACTATAAGTGAGTCTGGGCTCTGTTCTGCTCTGGAGCTGGAGGGAAGCGCCACAACTGCGGTTTGGCCTTTGTTGAGGTGTCACCCCCTGCAGGTGCGATGTTTCAGCTGCTCTTTTGACCCCGGCTGTGTCGTTAGGACGTGGTGACCGGCTGAAGTGCCGGGCAGGGCGAAGACCCACTCTCCTGGGGGCCGTCCTCGTTGTAGAGGCGCTTGATGCCGTCGAAGTATTCGTCCACGTCCATCTGCTCCACTTTGCGCTTGGCCGAGGGCTTCCGCCGGAGCGGCAGCGAAGCGCAGGACCTGGGCAGGCTGGAGTCACCGGGCGGGCTCCGGTCCCTGTGAGAGCAAGCGGGCGGCGTCGGGACGGCTGAGAGGTGCCAAGGGGGCAAGACTCGGCCGTCCCGAGACTCCAGGGGAGGGGGGCGCAGCGGGTGGCAGATGTATACAGTGTTGGGAGGCAGGGATGCCGTGTGGGTGGACAGGCAACGTGCAACCAGCTCTCTGCAGCCAATCAGCTCAGAGCTGACGATCTGAGAAAGAGACAGAAATTAAAACGAGAAACTTTATGATGACACCTTCACAAAGCAATCCCGACACAGGGCCAGTTTCACCAAATTTGCAAAATTTCTGCATAATAAAATGGTTGAGATGTAAAGTCATTCAGAGTGGTTTGGTGTGAAAAACCTAGAGTCAGAACTGCTCACAGTGGTGGTGATAGGAACCAGACGTCCACCTCTAAAAGCTCCCTCACAGAAAGTTACTACATTAAATGGTTTTGAATTCACTGCCTGATGCCTGAGACACTGTTCTATGATAGTACAGAGAGTTATATGCTGGGCAAAATAGTCTCCAAAGAAAACTTTTTCAGATTTATTACTGTTTTCTCATCATTAACATTCCATATAAACACTCAGAAGACACTGTAGGTTCACTGGTGGATTTGGATAGTAAATAAAACGTCTATATTTGTATTGTAGTCATGGTGACCACCACTGTAAAGACATCTGAACCATTTTACACCAAACCGCTCTGAATGACTGTCTACACCTCAATGACTGAAATACAGAAGCATTTCTGAAAAACACTCGATTTCCCCTTTAATAATATTGTTTACCCACTTGTAATATTGTTGGCCCAGTGGTTGAGAAACCCAAATAGAGAAGACAGTAATGTTGTTTCCGAATATAATAGAAGAATCTATACACTGAAGAGTTATATTTGTGTTAATAAACCTATCAGGCAGCCCCTGCACTCACTTCTCATCAGAAATACTGAAGCATTTTGCTACATTTCCATCATCTCAGCATGACAGCAGGACCGTTCTTAGTTACTGACACCAAAATTCATAGCCACAAGAGTGGTATGTGACGATGTAATGGAGAGGAGTAGCAGAAGACACTTCAAACAGGTTTATTCCGCAATTACATAAAGATTTTGAACAGCTTCCACTTTGAAAAACTGGTTAGGACAAAATCTAGAATTTCAGGAAGTGGCGCTCACATGCCTCCTGCATAAATTACAGCTACATTTACATGGAAATTAAGCTGCAAGTATCGTTTTGAATTTCACTGTTTTTGTGATGAAAACCAATGCATTTACATACAGCCGCTTCTCGGCCTGGACTGCTTTTTGAATGAGGCAGAACAGCCAATCAGAACAGAGCTCTGTCTTAACAGCACAATAACAAAAACAGCCTGTTTAATTCAGAGAGGTTGGGAGGTCATTTAAAATGATGATTTTGATAAATAAACCCACAAAATTATTATAAATGGACCTCAGTAGGAGAAAAATACATAAATGAGTCAACAGGTCTTGTGTTGTCTGTGTACAGGGAAATGACTGTGTGAGGTTACCAACTGTATGACACAGATGCTGCGGACAGAGATCAGGTAGAAAAACTCTGTGTTTATAAAAAAAAAAAAGTGTTTATAATCAGTAGCTATTGACAAAAACAAGAAAAGACAAACTTAAACCAGTCCTCAGAGCAGCTTTCTGGAAAAAAATATATAATTTTTTCTCAGGATGTTTAGAAATTAAAACTGTATTTGGCAAAGATAAATAAACAGGGGGCAGCAAAGGCCCAGTAGAAAACACTGTATACTAGAAGCCAATGGTGTTCAGTTCAAAACCAGCTGCTGTAACCCCCCCCCACCACCACAAGGCATTTAACCCTCATGTTTTTTCAGGAGTGCACACTGTTCTCCCCCGTACCCACTTCCCCCAAAGCACTGTGGCCTTGAAAAAGAACAGGAACTTCCACTGAAGGTCATTAAAGACGTGCACAGTGTGACGGACTAACCGTATAATTCTCTTTGTTCCACGTGTTTACACACGTTCATCAAAAACTGGGCCGAAATGTTTTATTCTTTATTCAGATGGGATCATTTTTACATGAGGATGTTGTGTAATGTAATCATTATAGGTGTTTGCAGTTTGTACCTGCTATAAAACCAAATATTCCATCATTTCACACATTTTTACGTTATTTTTAAGTATGACGGCACCTGAAGCACCATTTACTTGTCTTCTCTATAATCCAAAAACAAGACGATATGCAAAATATGTATGAACGTTAAAGGGCCCATAATCACAGAAAACCACATTTTTTTGATAAAGGAGTTTGAAGTAGCAAGTAAAGTGTTAAAGTTTCAAAATGTACCATTCATTTCTCCCTACAGTCCAAATATGGAAAATATGGTGGATAATAACAGCTTGTGATGTCACACAAACCAACTCATTTACATATATCTGGCTATTCAGCTTTCAGCAGTTTAGCCCCACCCATTAATATTATAATTAGGCGTCTTTCAGCTCTGAGTGCTTTCCGAATGAGGCACAATAATACAGAGCATCCAGTCACAATAGAGCTCATTTACATTGATCAGTAATGAGGTTTTTGGAAAAGTTGGAAAAGGGTCATGTAAAAATTAATTGTGACCATTTCTGGTTCATAAAACCACATTAAAAAAAACACAAAGACAAAAAATTGGAGGATATGGAACACTTAAAGCCTAAACTGACATAAAAAGTTTGATTTTATGTGCTGACGCTGACTGCTGGCTGTAAATTCCTAATGTAATGATAATGCTAGTGACACTGAATTCACTTTACCTCTTTCTGCAGGCCCCTCAGAGGGCATCCTGCACATGGAATGGAAAATGGAAATCGGCCTAGGTATCTGAAATCATTATAAATACAATAAAATAGAATATTTTCTCTGGTAACTTTGCCAGATTAACTAAGACACTGACTGTTGAGCTGTTAGTGAGCAATGCTTCCACAAAACAGATGGACATTGCATTTTATGGCTTCTGTGAAAAGGGCTTAACACAGCTGGACAGACGGTTTGAGGAAAAAAGAACCAGCAGCTCCCCCCGTGTCTGAAATTACAGAGATTTCTTATCCTGCAGGAATCAGTCGTCACAGACATCCTGTGGCAAACTGACATTACTGTACTTCCCTGTGTGAAGCTAATCCTGTCTGAACAGTGCTTTGTTATGTGTGTGATAAGAGTCATAAAGTCTGGTAAGCGCATGTTTAGGGTCAAAGGGCCTCTGTGTGCATCCGTGTGTCTGTTTTACCTGAGCTTTGCGCAGCAGGTCAGCGGTGAGAGCGAGCCAATCAGGACACAGTTTCTCCAGCTGGAGCGTGACGAGGGCGAGGGCCAGCATTGAGCCACGCACCGGCAGCAGTGCATTGTGGGAAAGGCAGTGCAGCAGCTCCTGGGTGAGCAGGGCCAAATGCTGGGACCGGTTCAGTGCGGACAGCGCGCCGCTCAGATGCCCTGCCTTACAGCTGAACACCATCGCATGGAACTACAGCAAGAGAAAGAGAACATAAAAAGATCAACCAGTTAATATGTAAATGTTCCCCATCAGTCCAGCACACATTCCTGAATTCATACTGCTGTTTAGGTCCCTTGCAAAGTCTGTCCACTTTTAAAGCCGTCAGAACAAAACTTTGCATCTCCAAAAAAATATTTTTACAGGAGAAGAAAAAACATTAACTTTTGATATAAGAATGTAACAAGATTCTTCGTCATTTTGGACTGTTTCTCTTGGTTCGTTTGTCCTGAAGTTTTGAAGCGGTGTAAACAGCAGCTGCAATTTTCAAACTGTTAAAAAATGTTTTGGGAAAAGTCTTAAAAAAATGAATGAATAAATAAATGGAGATGCAAGGTTTTGTTCCAACAGTGATGATGTTTCTTTGACATTTTATTTTTTATACAATTTCTTACGGGAGTTATGTTAGAATATTCGGGGCCTCTTTCGAGTGATTCTCCCTGTATATCTACTTCACCCATCCATCAGGCCTGTGCAATAAGGTGATATTATATCACAGTGATTTGCAAATAAGCCAGTGAAGCTCCTTCAGAGGTGATAATCATCATTTTGTGAAAGAGAACTGAGAGAAATAGGACTGAATTTTAAATTTTTTAACAGCTTGCTAAATAATATTAAACAATATGTACATGTAATGTTTATCCCCTTTTACTTTATTTACTTTTACTTTTATTATGAGGCATTAATAATCCATTAGGCTATGACAGAGTGAATTCCCCACTCTCTGTGTCAGGGGTTTTTCCAGAATGCAATACCGTGCATGAGGTAAATTATCAGCATTTTTCCCTTCTCAGCTCTGGTATCCAGATGAGCTGTCGATATTAATCAATAATCCTGAAAATACTGATAAATTTCAGATATCGCTGAGGCTTCCTATTGCTCAATCTATCAACTCAGTGAAAATCTGCAGTGCCATTTTTAGCCACCAGGATGCTCCCTAATTCCCAAACCTCTCAAGACTGCTGAGATCTAGTCTAGACACGTCCCCAGTGGGAATACAAATCAAAGAAAATATATAACTAAATAAATAACCCGGACTGTTTCTCTGACCTGAAGCAATCACTGTTTGGAAACTCCTCTTTGAGACTGCACTTCTGCCTGTGTGACTGGCACTGGTATGACAGGCATGTGGCAACTGCTCAGCCTCTTTCCCAAGCCGTTATTGTCTCATGTTGCTTTAGAAACTGAAGTGTTTCTTTAGAGCAGGAATGCACTCTGTGTCTGCGCCTTTATTGAGACGAGGCTTCTGTCTGGATGGTGTGCTGATTTCTTCTATTCTAGTGTTACACACCGACCAGCCACCTGATTAAGCACACCCTGTTGTTTCTACACACTTTGGGCCTCGTTCACCAATTTCTTAAAATCCACTCATGAAGATTCTGACATCCACCAGTGTTTTGTTGTTTATGATTTGTACTTTGTTAAGAACAGAATCCTCATTCAGGAGCACGAAAGTGCAAACAGTTCTGCGCTTTAAGAACGTCATAAATCTGATGTTGACTTTTTTAGGACCTTTCTCAAAAACAAATTTAAGAAGAAACTAAAAGATACTGGTGAATAAGGCCCACTGTCCACTTTATCAGCTCCACTGACCATGTGCACCGATCAGGCATAACATTATGACCCCCTCCTTGTTTCTACGCTCATTGTCCATTTTATCAGCTCCACTTACTATATAGGTGCACTTTGTAGTTCTACAGTTACAGACTGTAGTCCATCTGTTTCTCTGATACTTTGTTAGCCCCCTTTTACCCTGTTCTTCAGTGGTCAGGACCCCCATGGACCCTCAAAGAGCAGGTACTATTTTGTTTAGGTATTTATATTTTTCATTCTCAGTGTGTGTTGCGCTGGTCTGAGTGGATCAGACACAGCAGTGCAGGAGTTCTTAAACACCTCAGTGTCGCTGCTGGACTGAGAAACAAAAATATCCATCCTGTGGGCAGCGTCCTGTGACCACTGATGAAGGACTAGAGGATGACCAACACAAACTGTGCAGCAGCAGATGAGCTATTGTCTCTGACTTTACATCTACAAGGTGGACTGACAAGGTAGGAGTGTCTAATAGAGTGGACAGTGAGTGGACACAGTAGTTTGTGTATATTCTTTTTTTTAATTTAATCTATTTAGCTTTTATTCTGTTCTTCATGCGAGTATTTTTAATTCTTATTAAGAATGCACTGAGATTACTCAGAGACCTCTATTTGTGTGCTTGTACGTTTGTGCACCACTCACGATGTGCAGGAAGTCGAGCGGCGTGGCGGCGTGCAGGTCCCAGCTGAGTTTATCCAGAATGATCCTCTCCATCCTCAAGACTTCTGAGGGAGTGCAGCCACAATTACTGCTGCTGATCAACTCGCTCAGAGCAGGAATTCGCTACAGAGAGAAAGAGAAAGTGACAGATAGAGAAGAGAGAGGTTAAGAGGCCCATATCCTGTACTTATCTTGTAGTTTACTTCTTCCCTTGAATCATGACTGTTTTACAACCTCTCTTTATCCCTTAGAATTAAACAGCCTGTATTTGCTGCTGTGTCTTTAAGACTGAGATATGTAAATGAGCTCTGTTCTGATTGGCTGTGGGGAAGAAAACAGTCCTGAGCTGAAACACTCCTTATAACTTCAGCGTGAATGGGTGGGGCTAAACTGCTGTTGGTGGAATAGGCAGATATCACATGTAAATTAGTTGCTTTTTGTGACATCACAAATTCAAAACAGGCTGTTTTCACAGCTTGGATTTTATGGACTGTGTACGTATGAAAACTGACAATATTTACATATTTTAAACTTTTGTTTTAAAAATGTAAAGGAAATTTGGTTTTTCCAACAAATGAGCCCTTTAAAAACTAAAACACACAGCTGTGCTCTCTGAAAGTAAATATCCTGGTTAAACACACAAAAGTATGAATATACATGCGTCTGTATGCACACAGACAGCAGGAACAAAGCGAGGTCTCTGATCTTCGATTTTTCCTGGCGCTAAAGATCAGGTCCTGCGCCGCTTCTCACTGCACAGATGAGTGGGGCTTCCAGTGCCCACTCACATGATGACCAAGACAGGATCACTTCAAACCCTCAGGCAAATCAGTCCCAGTTCACCAAAGCCTCATAATTACACCTTCCAATACTCATTTGATTCAGGCTGATAAGACACGGTTCTTCCCCATATTTGCCCCTATAGCCTGCATACAGTGCACTTACTGAAGGGAGATTCCACTGATGTTTTCAAATGTCTGCATAATTCAGTGGTTGAGATGTAAACCAAACCATTAGGAGTGCTTTGGTGTGAAATGTGCCGTTCTAGAGAAACTTGCTGAGTCAGAATTGTTCACAGTGGTGATAGAAACCAGGGGTTTGCACACAAATATAGCCATTTTGTTTACTATCCAAAACCACCAGTGAACCTACACGAGTCTTCTGAGTTTTTATGGAATGTTGATGGAAAAATAGTGGAAAATCTGAAATAATAAGTTTTCTTTGGGGACTATTTTGCTTCATAACACCATTCATGTACCCCTCCACCATGAGTGGATTAAAAACAAAACAAAAAAACATTTTACACCAAAATCTTTTCATAAAACTATTATAAAACAGTGTCTCAGGCATCAGGCAGTGAATTCATAACGGTTTCATTTAGTAACTTTCTGTGAGGGAGCTTTTAGAGGTGGACGTCTGGTTCCTATCACCACCACTGTGAACAATTCTGAGTCAGTAAGTTTCCCTAGAACAGAGCATTTCACACCAAACCACTCTGACTCACTGTTTACATCTCAACCATCTTATTATACAGAAATTTTGCAAATTTGGTGAAACTGGCCCTGTGTCAGGATTGCTTTGTCAAGTTTTCATCATAAAGTTTCTCATTTTAAATTCTGACTCTGCAAGTTTCTCTAGAACAGAGCGTTTCACACCAAACCACTCTGAATGACTGTTTCCAACTAAAACAAACAAAAAAGGAAACATTTTTATTTTTTCTTTGCGTTGATGCCGCATTATATACTATAGAGCCCATAGCACAGATTATTTTTAATTAGAAATGTCTGTTACTATTGAAATGCATAAAGGCCGATTACGATTAACACCAATCTTTGTTTACATCCCCAAGCTTATTTCTGAGGCTCCATAATATTACAACATAAAACTCTAACAAATGCTCATCAATACAGATGAAAGGAGATATAGTTGATGCTCTTGCTTTAGACTTTCGTTGCATTTCTGACTCTTATTTGGTGCTTTTAATTGTTAAGATCTAATAGGACACTGTCTGTTTAGTGTTTTTTTTTTGTGTAATGTATGAGACTTCTGTCTTTTGTGCAAGGCGGGGTAAGTCACATGCACAACGTGCGTAATATTCAAACTGGCGTAACAGTGAAGTTCAGCAGGAAGTCACTCTTAGCAGTGTCGGTCTGAGTACAGTGGTGCGTTAGCTGCTACAGTGAATGAAGTGAGGGTTTGCTGGCAGAAGGCTGATCCTGAATCAGTTCAGACTGACTCACCTCGTCCTCCTCGCTGGTCTTAGCGGCCAGGAAGAAACAGGTGATGGCGATACAGCGCAGGTACTTAGGGCGAGCCTGAGAGAAGACAAAGACATAGAGAAAGGAGGGCATTCAGTGACTGTACAGCTGATTAATATGTCTTCTTATCTGTGGTGTGTTATGTAAGGTGACTTTATTACAAAATAAAGCAGTCGTGGGCTGGAGGTTAGGGAACCAGCCTTGTGACCGGAAGGTCGCCGGTTCGATCCCCTGAGCCGACAGTACGTGACTGAAGTGCCCTTGAGCAAGACACCTAACCCCCAACCGCTCCCCGGGCGCCGTGGATAGGGCGAGTGTCCACCACTCTGGGCAAGTGTGCCCACTGCCCCCTAGTGTGTATGTGGGTGTTTCACTGCATGGATGGGTCAAATGTGGAGGTGAAATTTCCCCGTTGTGGGACTAATAAGGGTCTCTTAATCTTAAATAAAACAAATAAACTAGACAGTATACATGTTTTACTGCTGAGATCCAAACTGAATCATGCTTGCTTGCAGTTCAGTTCTGAACCGGTTTGAATAATGAAAACAAAGCCAAGAAACAAACAGTATTTTGCTAGAAACAAAAACACAACTGAAAAAACCCAAACACACACCCACACATATATAAAATATTTCATTTTTATATGACCATTTTTCAAGCCTCTCTTTATCCCTTAGAATCCAGCTGGTTTTGTTACTGTGCCTTTAGGACTGATGTAAATGAGCTCTGTTCTGGTTGGCTGCCCTGTACCACACCTCATTCAAAAAGCAGTCTGGGCTGAGACACTCCTTATAACTTCAGCGTGAACAGGCAGGTATGTGTAAATGTAAGTGTATGTGTACGTTTTTGTGACATCACAAAAACAAATTCAAAATTGCCTGTTTTTGAAGCTCAGTTTCCATATACAGACTGAATGGACCAGAGGGTGAATGGTGTGTTTTTAAACTTTATTTCATTTATATACAACATCAAACTCTTTACTATCCAGGACGTGAGGAAAGTTACCTTTTTGTAAACCCATTAACTTGCTATTTATTTCTCGGCGCCAAACTCCCAAATGTTTTCTGGATCAACATCACCTTAGGACTGAATGATTAAGTGCATCATTTTGTTTTTTTAAATTGAAATCACAATTTTAAAACACAACATCTGCAGTTTTCATTATGTGCTACACTGTTTACAGCTGTCTTAAGTTTAAGTGGGGAAATTTAAACTTGTGACCTCTAAGTCTGGCTCCAAGTCTGAAAAATGGCTGTGCCGTCCATAAAGGGCCTGGAGAAAACAATCGCATCTAAAATCTAATTGCAATACTGGTGAGAAAAATTGCAATAACGTATTTTCCACAAATCATTCAGCCTTGTATCACGTCTCATGTGATTTCCTTCAATGCATCATTTTGCAGATTTACGTCATGCTTATGGTCTTTTTGTGCTGCAGATTCATTCGTTCCTTCACTCACATGCTGCTTTGTCAATCCATTTGATGCCCATTCGTATATATTGTTTTGTTGTCCTGTCTAGTACTTCTTTACTGTTCTGTATGTTTATTGTCTGATGTATTTATTATATATTTTGCACTCAATTCACAGTGGCCACGTTTACATGCAGCCTGATAATCCGTCAATAATCTGACTAATAGCTCAATCGGAATAGAATACGTCAGTGTAAATACCTCAATCGGAATAGTCTAGTCCGATTGAGGCCATCGAGAATACAGTTTCTATCTGACTGATCGAGGTGGGTAATCCTGTAAATAATCCGTTAAATAGAAGAATAATATCTGTGTAAACGTCTGTATCTGATTACATTCCCTATCGGAAAGTTTAAGTCCGTTCTGATCATGTTTGTCGCGTCATAGTGAAAGTTTATACCGTTCAACATGGCGGAGCAGAAACTGGTCTGCAGAGGAGACGAAGTTTATGCTCTGATCTTTAAAAGACGGCGGTGGGACGGACGTCCAGCTTATGTGTCTCAGAACACGACGTCTTCCTCTCGGCCTTCTTAATAAGGACATGTGAAGGACGTTTTCCTGAGTCTGACATCATTTTAAAGTGATTAAAAACACAAGCACTGCTCACTGCTGCTCATCTCACTCTGACTGGACTCACGTGATGTTCGCTGTCATGGTAACGTCTACACTAAGCAGTTCTCTACTCGTGTAATTTTGGATCTGATTACTGGTAGTGAGCATGTAAACGAAGGTTTTTCCATCAGATTGTTGAGTAGAGTGAGAATAAACACCTCAGTCTTCATCTATAATCGGAATGTGTTCAATCGGATTGGAGAAAATCTTTGCATGTAAAAGTACAATCTACATAGTTCTGTATAATGTGCTGCTGTGCAGTTATGCAGGAATGACAGACCACTTGACACTTCATTTAGTAGGACCACATGTACCACCGAACGTAACATTGCATTTGGACTTATTTTGTTTATGGCAACCTTTTTTGAATTATTATGGGCTGTTTTATAGCTGTCATTTAGATCAATTTACAAAACCCCACAGCTTGGAGAGTATGAGCACATCCTTATCAATACAGACACAACTACAGCTCTAACCGCTTTCCAAACCGGGTGTTTTATTACATTAGTCCTACGTGTAGAAGCAGTTTTATATTATGTACTAATCAGTTTAGGAACATTATACTGGGTTGGAGCACAAGAACATACTGGTCCCCCAGGCTTTCTGCAGTGCACTACATGTTTACTATTCTAGACTAACCCCTCTCTCTCTCACAAACACCGTCTACATTTACTTCCTTTATTTACTTCTTGGAAACATGCAAATGCGGAATTACAGAGAAATCTGCATCACATGCAACACTGTGCGTTCCCAAGTCACGTGCAGGAAGTCGACCGCGATTTGTTAACCTGCGACGTCACAGTGAGCACCAGATCCTTTACAGGGAACCAGTGTTTCAGTGGAGCTCGGTCTGCTTTACTGACGACAGATACACAACAGTACGTCATGTACAGTAATACGCCGCCACTGCCATAACACAATAACCGCACTGAAATCCCAACAGTGATGCTGCTTCTTCCAATTAAAAAAAAAAGTTTAAAGCTTTAAGTGAGGATATTTAACCTAATAATGCAGAGCTCGTGACTGGCTGTCTGGCACAAGACATTCAGCGTTCAAGCCCAAAAAAGTCCAGAAGTCCAAAAAACTGCCGGACTTCTTGGCCCAAAAACAAACAAACAAACAAACAAACAAACAAACAAACAAACCGCAGGGGGGAGCTGGAGTCTATCCCAGCGGTCAATGGGCAGACGGCAGGAAACACCCTGGACAGGAAGCCAGTCCATCACAGGGCAGACAGACATATACATTCAGTCACACCCAGGGGCAATTTAGCGTGTCCAATCAGCCTGACGGAATGTCTTTGGACTGTCTTTGGAAACCAGAGCACCCGGAGGAAACCCACGCAGACATGGGGAGAACATGCAAACTCCTCACAGAAAGGACCCTGGCTGCCCGGCCAGGGAAACGAACCCTGTGAGGCGACAGTGCTACCCACTGCGCCACCGTGCCGCCCCTAATAAATAAATAAATATCACATCCAAATTGCAACACTGATCAGAAAAATGAGACTAGATATTTTCTGCCAGTCGTTCAGCCCTACATGACATCTCGCATGGCTACACATCATATTTTTGTGCTTAGGCTGTAGATTCATCCAGAAATCGCCACTTAGATTTACAGATCTACGTAATTCCCTGAAAGAGCAACTTAACAGGAGAAGAAAATAAACAGTTTAACTTTAATGTACGTTAACATAATGAGATTCTGTTCAAAAATACTTTCAGACTATTTTTATTTGTCAATTGATCATGAAATGTTCACAGAATGTAAAGGAGGATCAGGAGTTTTTGTATTAGTGTGAAAAGGTTTGACTGACATGTCATACAATATCTGTAGTTGTGTAACCTGAAATGTTATTTATCATCATATAGGATTAACTTTTCACTCAAAAAACAAGAAAGCCAGAGCGAGACTAGCTGAGCTGCCAAACAGGAACACTGAAAGCAGTTTATTTTAAAAATAGACCCTGAAACTGAGCAACAGCTTCCAAAATCAACCGATACATGAATTTGCCTTCATATACAAAGTATACAGTCATTCTGAGAAGTTTGTACTCCCTCGATAAATGAAATGTTCTGATGATTTTCTAAGGGGAAAAAGTTACACATCCTCTACAGACAACACTATTAAATACGACACTTTCCTGCAAATTTCAATTACTGCTTATTTGCTATTGGGGAAAAAAATATGAAATATAAAATGTACCATAACTTTTGCATAAATTTCAATAAATTTAGTTTTTTTTTTCTTCAGTATGTTAAACTCAGTATATAAACACTAATTGTGCACTAAAATGTGCAGAAGTGTGTCTCTGTAGAGGAAGTGTTCAATTATTTTCACTTAGAAAAATCAACATAAAAGTAAAAAAGCAACATCTAATTTTGAAAAAAGTATCTTTTGAGCTGGTTTGAAGACAAAGGTTTGGTTTCAGATTTGTCCTGCACGCCTCCAGCCCCCACATGGACGTATTAAATTCCAAATTAATGAAGTACTGACCAACCAAACCAGTTCTTGGACGATAACGACAGTTAATATTGGGCTGCCCAGATAAACAGCTTGTTAAATCTGTGTCTAAAACTTCAGCACAGTACTGCACATCCAGGTGTACCAAAAAATTACTGCAATAACTTGCAATAAACCGAAACACCTTACAATGAATCATGACGGGGGATTATCAGTGTCTGGGCTGGCCAGTAATGATGACACAGACCAGCACAAGCTGTAATAAGCTGATCTCCAAACTCAGAGTGACAGAATCACTTCATTAGAAACAGCATGGCTGATTCTCCAGGGTAGAGCAGGTCTGCATTCAGCAGTCGAACTGCGTAACCTTCTCCTTTAATGTTTACCACAGAGGAATGTAGGTCAGGACTTTGTCCGCAGCTTTATGGAGGAAAAACTAACCAAACTTCTGAAAGCTTCTCACTGCCTTCCACCCTAAAAGGGAACGCCACCAACTTTTAAATATTTCTGGATAAATGGCTGAGATGTAAACAGAGTCATTCAGAGTGGTTTGGTGTGAAACGCTCTGATCTAGAGAAACTTACAGAGTCAGAACTGTTCACAGTGGTGGTGATAGGAACCAGACGTCCACCTCTAAAAGCTCCCTCACAGAAAGTTACTACATGAAATATAATAAAAGAAGCTGAACTCAGTTGTTTTCTACTGAAAGTCGACCCATTTTTCCACAAATCTGGGCTATAAACTATAAACAGATGGCGTCTCTTCAGTGATCTGCTCTGTAACAATTATTTTTATAAAATAATACAAACAGTGTCTAAGATTTTTGGCATTTGGCAGTAAATTGTAAGCGTATAGCAATATGTGTAGATCATAAAACACATGTTCTGCTAATTTGAGGGGAGCTTTTAAAATAAATAAATAAAATAAAAATGTACATTTATTTCATGCAGTTACTGAATAATTTGCCTTATGATTTGGTCATGTAATTTCAGATGGACAAACCAAAATATACCCTGGTCAATAAGAGGTTAATCTATTCACATGAGGGCGTTGTAAGGCAAAACTGTCCTGAAAGAAATGCAAAAACTCAGAGGACACGTGTAGGACAGTAAATAAAATGGCTATATTTGTGTTGCAGATGTTGTGACTCCTGGTTCCCATCACCACCACTGTAAACACAGTCGTTTAAGTTAGTTTCTCTACAGAGCACCATTTCACATCAAACCACTTTGAATAACTGTTTACATTTTAGCGATTAAATTCTGCAGAAATTTTAACAATTCCCCAAAGTCAAACAGGCTCAAGGCCAGTAGGTGTATACATGCAATAATTCAAAGAAGCTGCAATGACGAGACGCTTCACTGAGTCACGATAAAGCAACACCCTCATTTCAGCTCTCCAGCTCTACGAGCTGATGACACAGATAGGAAACACTGTGCTGTAACACTGGAGAAACCTACAAATTGTTTCTTACTACAGTTTGTTCCGGTATGTTCTTGTTCCTAGACGAATGTCTTCATTACACAAATTCAAGAAGGTTTTGATGATAAGCTGATGAACTGACTAGAAGAACACTGAACTGTGACCTGTGAGGTGAAGCTTTAACCCTCAGACGTTGAGTTATTAGTTTCATTTTGCTAGAATATTTACATGTAAAACATACAGTGCTGAGAAATGGACACTTCTATTCTTATTTCTTTCAGAATTATTTTTTTTGTTAATGCGTTATAGAAATTGTGCTTTACTATCGTTGCTGTTGGAAGAAAACCTCGTATCTACATTTTTGTTGTTTCTCAGTTTTTATCTTAATTTGAAAATGCCTGTTGGGCTTTACATTGTGTGTACATTTAATGAAGAATGGACCAAAATAAACGGCCCAAAATGAATTGGAAAAAAATGTGGTTCCATTGACTTTCATTAAATGTAAAGTAGGTTTTCTCCTTCTCCTGTAAAGTTATTATTTTGGAGATAAGAGGTTTTGTTCCGACAACATTGCTACATTCAAAAGTACATCATTTCAGCTATATTATAACTTACAAATCAATACTTTTGGTTCAACTTACAAGCACACTAACCCCAACATTTTATTAAAAATAAATGTAGGGACACTAATTCAAATGCATAATGTCATGTTTGAACCAGAGCTACTCCTGTAAAGCCACTATTCAACACAGCTAACTTAGTACTTCACTTTCTAATACAGATTGCTTTCAAAAATTAATACAGAGTTGAAATAATCTGTAAAAACCATTGTGCTTTGGTGACAGAACGTGTATGAGAAAATCTAGGCATGAAAAATGCACTGAAGTGGTGGAAAGAGGCTGTCAGAGATGCTGGGCATCCAAAAGAGAACATCTAACAAGCCTGGTCTGAGCATCAGTTATGCAAACAGCCCTGACTAGATTTCATCTGCCTTTCAAAAGAAGAGATATATAAACAAAATACTGACCTAAACTAAACACTGACCTACATAAAGGACAGAGAGACTCAATTTTTAACACCTTGTAGTTTTTAATTCCTTATACGGGATCATTTTGCGCTTCACTTTGTAAATCTGGCCATTATTGCTGGTTGCTGTAGCTTCTGTTGGATGCAACTGAACAAATGATCACTTTAGCTTGTATTACAAGCTAAAGTTAAATAAATAATAACTTACACTGACATGTAATTTACATTCTAGATAGGTTTTTCACTTTGGGCTTTTTCCCTCATTTGTTTGGAAAATATAATAGATACCTTTATATATACCTAATATAATAAATACCTTACATCAAATTCAAATCATAACGAAATATCTGCTCTTCAACTTACATATAATATTGGATGGTATGGATTGAAAGTTTACAATCCGCTCTTTCCACACAATTTCTCCCTTATTTCAATGAGCTATGAGACAGAAATGTATATCGCATTACACCGCGCGATTTCCACAGGGGAAATGGAACATTCCACATAGAGCATGTTTAAGTGCTGTTGCTAAGAGTCGGCAGTACCTTAATGGCAGAGAGGAAGCGGTCGAGGATGGAGACGGCCAGACAGAGGGTCTCTGGATAAAGCTTCAGCTGGTGGTGCACATCAGCCAGCCATCGCACTGCCTCGTCACGCTGGGCAGGGGAGATATCTGTATCCTGCAGGGTGTAAAGTCAATGTGAATCAAGTGTAAAATAACAATGCTTTACAACCAGATTAAGGCCTGTATAGAAGCTGTACTGTAGCCTCGAATGTGGAAGACCCCATCTTGGTGAACAGCAAAAGCTTCTTAGCCTGTCATTATAATCTATTAACGTCTATATCTCAAATTTAAAATCCCATTTTGCCTGTATGAGTACAAATCTGAAGACATTTTTCAAAGTATATGGCTAAAAGAACGCAGATTTTTGTTAAAGATGCACGACTGAAATTGGTAGGTTTTTGCTCCAAACGTGGCAATGAGCCAATTTATTATTTTTATTGCATTGCAGGTAAACAAGGTGAGGCAGTATTTGAATGCTGCTGCTACGTCTGTTGGAAAAATAGTATAAATTATACACGACTCATTGTGCTGAATGAGGGGACTCGGCCCCTTCTTACTTTCACTGTAGCACTTTAATTTCATTTTATTTAAAAGGGGAACTCCACCAGCTTTTCAAAGATTCTGCATAATTAAATGATTGCGATGTAAACAAAGTCATTCAGAGTGGTTTGGTGTGAAATGCTCTGTTCTAGAGAGTCAGAACTGTTCACAGTGGTGGTGATAGGAACCAGACGTCCACCTCTAAAAGCTCCCTCACAGAAAGTTACTACATGAAATGGTTATGAATTCACTGCCTGGTGACTGAGACACTGTTTTATGTCAGTTTTGTGATAAATACTTGGCTTATATTGTATTTTAATCCATGTATTTTAATCCATTCATGGCAGAGGGGTATGTGAAGGGTGATCTAAGGCAAAACCGTCCCCAAATAAAACTTATTCTTTCAAATTTCTGACATTTTCCCATCATCAACATTACATATAAAAGCCCAGAAGACTCGTGTAGGTTCAGTGGTGGTTTTAGATGGTAAATAAAATGTCTATATGTGTTGTAGACACAGTGACCTCTGGTTCCCATCACCACCACTGTTAAGAAATCTGAGTCTCTACAATCAACCATTTCACACCAAACCACTCTGAATGACTTCATAATCGCAACCACTAAATTATTCAGAAATGTTGAAAAATTGGAGGAATTCCCCTTAGTTTGTCTTATTAAAGAGCAAATAAATGTTATTTATATTGCAGCATTGGCCAACAGTACTGGAAATGTGCTGGTGTTGTGTTCATATAAACCAATAAAAACTATCCATCACCCAATGTAACTATATAGAAATCAGTCACAATTCATGGTTGGTGGACTGATCTTAATCTTACTCTTAATCTTACTCATTTCTATATTTTTGTGTCATATGGGGCTTCTGGTTTTTAACAAAATAATAAAAATGTCTTCGACTGAGGTATAACTATACAAACTTTTTTTTCCATTTAGAGTGAAAGGAATAAGTTCTGTGGTATTTTTCTCTAATCAGACTAAGTTTAAACATCCCTCCCCCCAAAAACTCACACAAGCATAACAAAAGCACACAACACTTAATGAATGCCGGTGTGGCACAGACACAGCTGCACAACAGACGGGTGGGGGTCAGGATGGACAGATCTGACAATTACTGTGAGTCACAACTAATTAGACCTGCTAAACAGCTGTTACACCTCCTAAAATGGCATTAAAGACTGCACCTGATGTTTCTACATTCTAGTAGTTAAGCCTATGCAAAACAGGACAATGCTTGTTTAAAGGTGTGCTCACCTGGTTGGATGGTTTCTTTGGCACGTAAACCTTCCACAGCTTGGCTTCCCTAGAAGCTGCATTCTCCAGAAGAAAAGACAGCTTCCGGCCTTCCAAGGGTTCGGCGAATTTCATCACGAACCCTGGAAAAGCCTACCTCCCCACTGGATACAGCTACCTGACCACGGGACAGTGAACAGAGTGGATAAGTGCACAGTAATGGTGTGGAGAAGCTGGAGGACAAATGCTCCTCAGCATGACATCTGCAACTTGCCTCATTTTCTCCACATCACAGTGCTAAAAGAAAAGCTGAAAAGACGGCATCATCGTGGAAAACCAGTTGAAAATAAATTAACTTAGATAAGTAAGTAAGTAAATAAATAAATAAATACATAAGCAAACACAACAGTAGGCTATTTTGGGATTTACTTGGTTATGTAAGAGATCAAAACAATGTGATTAGGAGCTAACCAGGTACCTATGGAAGCCATGACTGGAGAAAAATATACAGCTATTTAGTCAGTCAAAATAATAATAGTTTTCATAATTAAGACTTAGTATCTCATTATAATTACTATGTCATGATTATGTAAAAAAGTATATATAATTATGAGAATATAAGCTGTAAGTAACCGTTATGACTTTTGTCATATGACATACTAAGTCATAGTTATGGGAAAAGTTATACTTACAAGATGCTAAGTCAACATTATGAGACATTAAGTCATAAGATGCTAAGTCATAATTATGAGATACTAAGTCTACATTATGAGAGAGTAGGTCATAATAATGAAATACTAAGTCATAATTATGAGATGCAGTCATTTTTATGAGACAGCAAGTGATAATTATGAGATGCTAAGTCATAATTATGAGATGCAAAGTCATATTTATGAGACAGCAAGTCAAAATTATGAGATACTAAGTCTAAGTTATGAGACAGTAGGTCATAATTATGAGATGCTAAGTCATAATTATGAGATGCAAAGTCATATTTATGAGACAGCAAGTCATAATTATGAGGTGCTAAGTCACAATCATGAGAAAGCAAATCATAATTATGCGATACTACGTCACACTTTTGAGAAAGTAATAATTATGAGATGCTAAGTCGTAATAATGAGAAAGTCAAACATACTTATGAGATACTAAGTCTACAATTCTGAGAAAGCAAGTCACACTTAAGAGATGCTAAGTCATAACTGAGACAGCATCTCATAATAATGAGATTGTAAGTCATAATTATGGGACACTTTCACATTATTATGGCTTATTAAAAGGCTATATATATACACCCCCCCCCCAGCTCCCTGAGGGGTCTCGTATTAAAACTCTGTGTACACTGTAAACACAGATATTGCCATTAGCTGTTAGCTAGCTGGCTAGCAGAGATATGAACCGACTCCGAAACGGCTGCTTGGCTCAAAAGAGCAAACACAGCTAACTCTGCTCGTCTTCTCTCAGCTGTGGGGTAAAACATGGGCACTATTCACCCTCCGGCATGTTTATGGGGTCGTTTTAATGCTAAAAGGAGAGACGGAGACGGAGCGCTGCGTCGTTACGTTAACCTACCTCCCCTGCGAGCCTGTGGGAACCGCAGTCCGACTCGGAGATCATCCGGCCCGTTAAACTAAGATCAAATAAAAGAGCAGCTCGGAGCGGGACATCTCCTCACACTTCCACCTTTACCTCCATCTCCAAAACGCAGGGAAGGGGCTCTTAAAAAACGATATTAAAACATAAAACGAACGGAATATAGACTGAAGCGTCTACTTCCGAGGAGGGGACTGAAAAAGGAAAGAGAAACGGACCGCCCACTTCATACTGCGCAGTTCGGCTTAGGACTTTTTTGTTTTTGGGAGGGGAAAAATGAATAACTATATTGGATACAGTATTAAAAAGTGCTGTTAAAACGTGGCGGCTAAGTTTAAATGTGTTTTAGGTAAACTGTAGGTAGTTGTGGCTTTGTAACTTGAGAACTACTTTCTCCTGCGAGTGAACCGTGTAACGTCTTGCGTAATGCGGCTGTCCTCTAGTGCAGGTGACCGAATGCCATAAAAACACAGCCCGAAACATTATAAAATAAAAGCATTTTATTATTAAAAAAACAAAGCGTTATACTTTTACCCCTCGGTGATTAATCATAATGGCTATAATGTATGTCATTTATCGTCATATGATACGGTTTTATCGGTGATTTAGATACAAAACCGAGTACTTTGTCATATCTGTTTGGCCAAATCCTTTAAAAGTGTCGTGTTTTCATATGTTAATGTAGGACAAATGACCTTATAGCTTTATCGGAGTCTTTCCTTTTTCAATAAACGGGCAAACCGTTAAAGGGGAAGTCCACCAAATTTTCACAATTTCTGCATAATTAAATGATTGAGATGTAAACAAAGTCATTCAGAGTGGTTTGGTGTGAAACGCTCTGTTCCAGAGAAACTTACAGAGTCAGAATTGTTCACAGTGGTGGTGATAGGAACCAGACGTCCACCTCTAAAAGCTCCTTCACAGAAAGTTACTACATGAAATGGTTATGAATGCACTGTCCGATGTGTGAGACATTGTTTTATGATAATTTTGTGATAAAGGTTTGGCTTAAAATGTATTTTAATACATTTATTTTATTCCATTCATGGTGGAGGAATAAATGCAGGACGTTCCATGGCAAAATAGTTTCCAAAGAAAACATACTTTAAGATTTTCCACCTTCATCATTATTCCATATAAAAACTCGGAAGACACTAGGTTCACTGGTGGTTTTGGATAGTAAATAAAATGGCTATATTTGTGTTGTGCAATCAAATGACTATAATTATGCCAGGACTCCTAGTTCCTATCACCACCACTGTAAATAGATCTGACTTTGTAAGTTTCTATACAAACGAACGATTTCACATCAAGCCAATCTGAATGACTATTTTTTTTACCTCTCAATTATGCAGATTTTTTTTAAAATCGGTGGAGCTCCCCTTTAAGACTGCCTAACCATAAACAATACAGCAGGGATCGCAACCATTCTCTCTATTCCTACATGCTCGCGCTTCTTTATTTAAAAAGAGAAGCTGTACTCATTCATAATCCGACTTTACATCAACAAAAAGCAGTATTGATAATGTATTGTGAAATTTCCTCGTTTACGAACAATAACTAACAGAAAACAAAGGAGCATCCAATGAGAATCGGACCAATGGTGGACGAGTACACGGCCGAGAGCAGCCAATGAGGAGCGAGAATTTTGGGCGGACTATTTGAACGCCGAACAGTGCGATGACCTGATTGGTCCGCGGCCGTGTCAATAGCCCCTTTAAACGACCGTGTTCAGAAACGGTGCCGCTGCGAATTCAAACATAAAATAATCCAAACATGTATTTGATTTCATTTAAATTTATAATAAAGGGTATATGGACGGAGAAAATGATAAAATATGTCATTTTGAGAGCTTAAAATCAATAGTACATTTCCTACGTGCAGGCTCGACCCTCACTGACGTCACACTGGGGCGGGGCAACGGGCGACATCAACAAAAGGGAAAAAGAGTCCGAAACAGAAACAGAGAAGGACGAGAAGACAACAATGTCCGTTTGACATTTCAGGTGAGTTTTTATTGTGTCACTACGTCTAAATTTACGAGTGGTTTATATTTCAGCAGCCGTGGGTCGTGTAACATCAACGTTAAGGGCATTTGTGTCCACCAGAAGGGATTTGTGTCGAGGGTTTTAAATCTTTCCTGTTTACTCGCGTTCATCAGTTGGGCGAAGCTAACGACAGCTTTTCAACGGTTTTACTTTCTCTCGATAAATCCTGTTAAGACTCTTAATTTTATTTTTTTTATATTTAATTTAGTCACGAAAACAATACAGGATTGAATTGTGTTACGAGGCTGGAGACGGCTTCCTATTCGCCAGCTTGTTGTTGGAATTTTTCCGTTCCACCTTAAATGGCGCTATTTAAGGTGGAACGGGAAAATTCGAACAACAAGCTGACTTAAGCTTCGTAATTGTGCTAGTTGCCGTTGTCTGTACAGGTTTTGAGTCTAATCTGCATTGTAATTGTAAACATATTGGTCAACTCTGGCTGTTTTGGTTCGTTTTACACGGACAAATTGTGGTTTTTCTCTGCTGCCAAGAAAATCTGAGCCCCTCCCCCGCCGACGACGAGCTGTTTTTTTTTCCAGCGATTTCAAAAGGAGAAACCCATCTATTCTCAATATTACATTCCTATAGCCCCTTTTTGTTTTTTATTTTTGTGGTATATTACTGTTTTGCTTTGCTGCCGTTTTTATAGCTGCAGTTTCGGTGTATTCTTGGTCTGTACGAAGGGCGATGACGGGCGAAATCTGACCCCGAGTCCCAGCTGAGGCTGTGGGCCGGGCCAGTCTCCACCCTCCGCCCTCTGAGTGAACACAACCAGGGAGGAGAACATTTACGATCCTGGTTTCTTTTTTTGTTGTTTGTTTTTCAAAAGGTTTTGAATCGCTTAAACAAGACCGAGTCTCGACATGGAGGCCTTCAAACTGATGAAGGAACTGAAGGTGAACTTCGAGCAGGAGACGAAGTATCTTCCCAAGGAGTCAGGACTGAGTTTGATCGAGTCCACCACTGAGGTAAGCCCTGTTTGGACACAGGGTTCAAAGATTAATCGTTGATATATCGAAATCAGAGTTTACAAGAGTGGAATAATTAAAACCATGTCCTGTAAATGTGATATCACAACTAATTGGCGGTCAGCTTGCTCAGTGTTTAAGCCTCAAGCCAGAACAAAATGGATATTCTGCTCTTATTGGCCAAAACAATAGGCCTGGAAGTTAATTTATAGAAAATAGCATGTTTCATTTTCACTTTGTTTCACTGAAACTGAATTTCAGCAATAACCAGTTGGAAAAAGCTTTTTTTAGCATAACTGCCTTTGTAACACCTGAGCAAGATAGTTAAAATCACTATTATGTAAGGATTTTTTCCTCCGATTAGTCAGTTTGTTTACTGACAACAGTTTAAACTGTGAAACTGGAAAATTAAGTCAATGTTTCTAAACGTGAAATCCTTTCCATTTTTACAGCAGGGGAAGGGAATCTCAGCGAAATGTCGCGACGCCAAAGTCGAAGACCTCTGGAGCCTGACCAGCTTCTTTGGTTACAGCACTCAGACCTTCGTCCTGGCTGTTAATCTGCTGGACAGGTTCCTAGCCTTGATGAAGGTACACGTCAAAGTCCTCCCATTTTAGTTAGATGAACTTCAGTGAACTTGTAAAATGTTAGCAAATTTACCCCTTTTTACCAACAGATTTGGTGTTTTCATTGTATTTTATTGCTATAATCAGATATCCAGGGCCTCTAGGTTGTCTTCTGAATTGACACGTATCTTCTGTCTACATACAGGTTCAACCCAAACATTTGGCCTGCATCAGTATTGGCTGTCTCCACATTGCCGCCAAAGTAGTCGAGGCAGAGTGCGACGTCGCGTCCACCCACGAGCTGATCCGCATCGGTCAGTGCAAGTTCACAGTGTCCGACCTCAGCAGGATGGAGAAGATCATCTCCGAGAAGCTCAACTTCCAGTTCAAAGCCGTCACAGCCTTAACCTTCCTACACCTGTACCACGCAATTGCACTGTCACATACCTCACACAGGTGAGACATGGGGTTCCTGACAAGGTGACGCTGCCAAAAACATAAAAAAAATAAGTAAAAAATTGAACTCATAAATGTGAGACAATGGCCAAGAGTTGCAATGTCACCATGCACAGTGTAGAGAGACATGCAGAACGCAGCAGTGCACTTTGAGCTTTCAGCGCTATGTGGGTCATTATGCTCTAAAGTCACCTCATCACACACTAGAGGGTTATCTGCACAGGCGGCCATATACCAGAGAGCCGAGATAGCACCTGTTCCACTACAGCCTGTGTTATGCAACACCTGCCTGTATTACCCCAAATATTATATATTGCATTTATTTTAGTGACTGAACTGCACCTGATAAGCATCTTTTTCTTTTCCAGGAAAGAAATCCTGAATCTAGACAAGTTGGAAGCCCAGCTTAAAGCCTGCCTTTGCCGGATCATTTTTTCCAAAGCAAAAGTGAGTAATGACACACCAAACCAAACAAAATAAGGCCCGAGGGGCTTTGAAATTTAACCATGACACTTATCTCTGACCTCCGCTTCCCTTTCTCTTTAGCCATCGGTGCTAGCTTTGTCCCTCCTGACACAGGAGATCGAGGCCTTGCAGTGTTCTGACCTGCTAGAAATCGGCCAGCGCATTCAGAGACATTTACGGGTATGTTGTGATCAAAGCTTAAATCCTGCTGACTCCTGTAATATACACCTGCAGTAAATCAGATAAAATAAATAACATGCATTTTTAATTCGGTATATGACAATCATGGTCTTACGATCATGATTTCAGTTTAATTATATGTGAGTGGAAAAAAAAAGCTTCTGCCAAACATTTCAGAACAGAAAAAGTAGGGCAAACATTTAAGTCTGTCTTTGACCCCTGGTTGTGATGCAAGCTCCTCAAGTTCACTCAGACTTGCCTCTAAAAATATATCTAAGCATCCTCTGGGGCACGAAGCATTACTGGCATGCTCTGTAACGTCACGGGAGCCATACTGAGCCCTTAGGCATGGCAGAGCTGTAGAGTGGTCTATCAGTTTACTCCCATAGACTGAGTGAGTGTAGGTTACCAGGAACTTTCCTGCCCCTATATGTTATGTAACCCAGCGCGTCTCTCCTGGTGGTGTCTGTGTATGTGTAGATCTCTGAGCCGGAGCTCCAGAGGTGGAGAGGGCTGGTGGGACAGTGCCTGATGCAGTACTCCTCCCCAGAGTGCTCCAAACCGGACCACAGGAAGCTGGTGTGGATCGTTTCTCGCCGAACCGCCCAGAACCTCCACAGCAGCTACTACAGCGTCCCCGACCTGCCAACCATACCAGAGGCCAGCTGGGACGAGAGCGAGAGGTAAAACGCTCACCTGGACACAAAGGGAGAGAAAAGAGAGGCATTCTTACTATTCACAGGCGCACAGAGACCCTTGGTTGAGACCATTAATTCATAATTACTTGCTCGTTCTTTAAACAGACGTTAATCCTGTGCTTATCCAAAACCACATCACGCTACAAGTATTAGGAATGTACAATAGAGCTATTCAAAGCAAAAGAACTGAGAGGCATCGTAGTTGTGACTGAGCTAATGTTCTGATAAATTTCATCAGGGGAAGAGAAACATAAGGGAAATCCCAGAACATTCTCAACATAAACAGTCAATTACATGTTCTTTCTAGGGGAATCCAAAGCTCACCCTCTAAATGCTTGCAGTTTCAGTTCAGGATTGTTAGTTGCCTAAAACCACCCAACTCAAGTATCATATGTCATAACACTGGCATTGTACGTGCTTATACGCTCATACAATCACTCTTACGTCACAGCCTCGCCTCGTCTAGTCAGCACTGGTGAAGCTCGCTAGCCTGGCCCCGCCTCTCCTCACTCTATCTGGTTTCCTATCAGTGTTGTATGACGGATAGGAGTGACCAGTTACGTCTTAGCAACCACAGTTTACCCCACTGTTACTTAATAACCTAGCAACAGCCTGCCTCGCACCACCTACCCATAAATGCCCCTGCTCAGTCAGCATATGGTTCTGTAACTAGGTTCTAGTGGATTTAATTACACCCAAGTTCAAATCGCATACCTGTCCACCTATTTGTGGAAACATTCAAGCATAGGTGTGGTGGATGACCAATGTTTCATGAAGGCTGAGGCAAAAATGAGTCAATAGGCAGCAGGTACATAGTGTCAGCTGTGACTAAGGGAGGGTGTGTTCATGTGCAGTGAGGAAGAGTAAAAGGGAAATAGCGCAATAACAGTTCTGATGCTTAAATCTGATTGGCTGAGCCACAAAGTACTCTGTATACACATCCATTTGAAAAACATGAAAACAAAGCTGTTCATGAAATAATTTCTATTATTAATTAATTATTGTTTTATCTTACTATTATATTAAAGCAGTAAGCCAGCAAGTGACGATGTTAGACATAACGCAGTCACTGCTTTCATTCATCAGTTCTTTAATCTGACCGTGCTTTTCTTTCTCTCCTAGCGAGGAATGGACTGAAGAGCTGAGCTCCGGTGAAGAGTCTCTAAGCAGTTCGCTGGGCAGCGACGCAGAGGGGCCCTACTTCCCTGCGCACTTCCGCAAACTCGCCCGCAAACAGCAGTCTGCCTAAACCGCCCAGCCAGCAGCGCAGCTACCCAATCAGAGGCCGTTCTACAGGAAGGAACCTCAACAGTGGCAGCTTATTCTTCCGCTGCCTCTTAACACGTCACTCTAGCTTCCATCTTAACGTCAACAACCACCCAGACCTCTCCCGAGTAAAAGAGCCACTGTGCCTGGGTTCCACACAATAAGCTACTCAAGAACCCAATTTGATCTGTTTTTTTATTTACTATGGGTCGCTCCACCTACTACACCCATTGTCGATCCTTCTCTTTTCCTTTGTCTCTTGTGGTTTTTAAACAGAATTGCACAAAACAGGCAGCTAAAACAGCAGAAATTCAGTGAAAATTGTTTTAAAAAAAAATAATTTTTTTTTAGTCGTAGTTTTTAGTATGTTGGTGCATGTTGAGATACGTCACATTCCAGTAGATGCACCCAAGATTTAGACTGTTAAGGAACACCTATGGACTGGGAGAACACATACTCCAAGTACACATAACTTTGCACAGTTTGTTATAGAGAAGTGTCAGTAGGGGCTGTGCACCTCCCTACAAGGTTACAGCACCATTCTGAATGTGTTTGACCTGTTCAGAGACAAACAACCAGGTTGTGTTTTGTGGTGAATGTATGGGTATGTAAGTGTCATGATGTAACATACACTTGCCAACTTGAGATAGCTTAGTTAGCCGTCTGTATGGAGTAACAAAGTAATACTGTTGAATGTGTGTGTGTGTCAAAAAGTTTTTAAAAAAATGCCATAAAATGTAAAAATGTCAATATAAAAAAATGTAAATTTGTATAATGTAAAAAAAACAAAAAACTGTATAGTACCTTGTAGATATTAACTTATTTATTATTATTATTATTTTTGTCATGTTATATGAAACATTAAAAAATATTTTGAAAATGAATCTGAGTTTTATGTTTTATTTACATTGACAAACTGAAGCAGGTGGTTATAACATGGATAAAATCTATACAGGTCACACTGACACTATGCCCAAAATCATGAAGCTAGTCTGAAAACGAAAAACAAGCAGCCTAAGTGACCATATGCAGTACGTGATTGGGCAGGGAGATGGATTGCTCAATGACCACCTTCCAGGGCAAAGTTTGTCAGACGCTTTTTTCCATTGCTCAAACCCGGCAGGCTGAGGAACAAAACATTCAGCTGTTTCTTCAAACATGGTGAAATCTATGACGCATGACCAGCTGGGTTACAATGTCAGAAAGCCTACAGCAATTCAAGTCACAAGTCCTGACAAAGCACAGGCACTGAAAAAGAGAAGCGTCCTGCTTTTGCTTACAAAGACTCCAGAGCTCTAGCAGACCAACATCACGTAGCCAGATGTTGTTGGAGTCTTGTAGCTCCAGAATTCTTCACCTCTGAGCTGCCAAATGCTGACACTGGCTGTGTTTTCATGCAAAGATTTTCTCCAATCTGATTGAACAGATTCTGATTATAGATGAAGACTGAGGTGTTTATTTTCACTCTACTCAACAATCTGATGAAAATCTCCGTTTACACGTTCGCTACAAGTAATCAGATCCAAAGTGACGCACATGTGTGAACCGCTTAGTGTAGATGTTACCATGACAACCAGCATCACGTGAGTCCAGTCAGAGTGAGATGAGCAGCAGTGAGCAGTGCTTGTGTTTCTAATCGCTTTAAAATGATGTCAGACTTAGGAAAACGTCCTTCACATGTCCTTATTAAAGAAGGCTGAGAGGAAGACGTCGTGTTCTGAGACACATAAGCTGGACGTCCGTCCCACCGCCGTCTTTTAAAGATCAGAGCATAAACTTCGTCTCCTCTGCAGACCAGTTTCTGCTCCGCCATGTTGAACGGTATAAACTTTCACTATGACGTGACGAACATGATCAGAACGGACTTAAACTTTCCGATAGGGAATGTAATCAGATACAGGCGTTTACACAGATATTATTCTTCTATTTAACAGATTATTTACAGGATTACCCACCTCGATCAATCGGATAGAAACTGTATTCCGAATGGCCTCAATCGGACTAGACTATTCCGATTGAGGTATTTACATGGACGTATTCTATTCCGATTGAGTTATTAGTCGGATTATTAACGGATTATTAGGCTGCATGTAAACGTGGCTAATGCCACTTATTACTGCTCCAGACTAACTGGATTCCCCAAAAAGAGATTTCCATCATGGTTTCCTCTGTTAAACATGAGTTAAACTTTCTGTACATTAGCAAATAAATTTTGCAACTCTATAGTAATAACCAGCATACTCCTTATTAATTAAATAATATCTGTCTGCAGAGCCGCAGAGGCAGTTTCACTCCAGCAGGTTCAAGCCAGTGGCATTCAGTGCATGCGCCGACACCTGTTTTGGTTTTTCTTAGCAACTTTAGGCTAATCAACATTTCAGTCATTTTACGTGGGCCTACTATCCATAATTTTTATTGGGCTAACGTTATATTTTAAGCTTCAAGTTAAAACAAATGCATATAGATATTTACAGGCAAAATATAACACAAACTACAGCTGATGTGTCCTGGGTAAACTAATGGGTTATCAGACATCTAGCTCAGTTAACTTAACTTTACCTTAAGCTTAAACTGAGCATAATATTAAGCTTTAGACTAAAAACAAACTAATTTTTGAATGTTTCCCTGCAGAAAAAAACCCACAGAAACTATTAAGTGTTTCTTTTGGTTTCTGATGGTTTTGTAAACCTTCCTGAACAGTAATATGCATGGTGACAAATCCAACCAGCACATCAGAGACGTTATAAATAAAAACACCGGCCACTGGCTGAAATATGAATGGGATGCTTGTAACTTTCCTATAAGGACTTTGTTTACATGGCACAATCGTGCTGTCATCCTGCACATGTGCTCCACTGGCCTGAAACCGCTGGAGTGAAATTGTGGGTGTAAACTTGCAGCTCTGCAGTCAGACCCTCTCTATTTATTAGCAAATGTTAGTATTTTTGGCTGACTCCTTCCTTTAAAAACACAAAACATTAACTAACAGGAAACGTCACATAAGCCTCAGTCCAATCAAATCACCTTGCACTTCAGCTGTAGCAATGAAACAGCCCACCAAATGCCAACCTTGTTATTACAATGTACTTACTGCTCGACCTTTTCTGATTGAATTTCACAAACGGTTTAATGCCACTGCTTTCTGAATGCCACCAGACCAGCATGCTCTCGTTCCGTGGCTTTCGGAGGAAATACTTTGAAAAGTGGATGTTTTACGGTGGGTTCACTGCGCAGCTCTGACATCAGAAAGCATTAACCTAGAATGAGAACAGTGCTGGAGTGCCTGAGTGACTGATATGCCCTGATAAGTGCGAACAATGCCTGACTGTAGTTCAGTCCTCAACACACACCACAGAAATCTTGCTTTCTGGAAAGCAACCTACCCACCACGAGCGTGATCTCACGTTTAAAACAGAAGAGGAATTTCAAACAAAAGCGTCACATGAACGTATCCGAAGTCTGTCATCACTTACCACTTCAGAATCCCATTCGAGACTTCTTCCTCTGAGGCTGGGAGGCCTGTGAAGACGCCCTGGGTTGGGATGGACGCCGCAACGAATACGATGAACCGAGGCGCTGCGACATGGCTGCAGCCGAGTGAACAGGCAAGCTGCCGTCGTCGACCTGTCCAGGATCCTGCGACGGCTCTTGAGAGCCGAACAGAGAGCTGAGGTAGTCCTGTTGCTGCCACAGCTTTGGCTTCTGCTGGCTGGACAGCGATGGTTTCAACGCTGTTTTCGAGGAAGAAAACAAAGAGTCAGTCTCAACAGTAGGGGCCTGCCCTTGTTCCTGGTTCTGAGACTGGGAAATGACCATGGCAGAGTCCTGCTCTTGTGGTTTACTTGGAGAACTTCTCAAAGATTTAAAGGATTCTGGTGACGACCGCTCGGTGGCCTGACTTGTAGGTCTTCTCTGAGTAACTGGGCTCTTGGGAAGCGTCTCAGGTTCTGACAGCGCGGTATCCTCTGCAGCGCTCTGTGAATTCACGAAGCTCTCCCCGTCCGAACCAAGATACTGGCTTGTGCCCGAAGACCACCCGGAAAGATCGTCCTGATAGCTGACGGATGAGGTGAAGCTTCCGGAAAGCGCCACCCGGTTTCGGGCTTTGGCTCGCTTCTCCTGCCTGCGTTTTCTGCGCAGAGCCTCGATCTTGGTGTCCCGGTTCAGGCCAAGCTTCTCATCCCACCAGTTACTCCAGTCACCCCCCCAAGAGGCAGTCAGCCGCTGGCTCAGATCATCTGGCCAGTCCGAGGGGTCCACTGCTTCTGGAAGAGGGGCAACTTCCAGAGGAGGCAGGTAGGTGCCCTTGTGAATAAGCAGCTGTCTATTCTTCATGGCGTCGGTCAGATCCTTCCTCAGGCTCAGGAACTGATCCTCCTCAAGCCTGTCTCTGTATTTGACCTTAAACCGCATCATATCTCTGGTCCTGAGTTGCCAGTGTTCTAAGCAATGCTCCTTTGCAGTGGCCTCAACCAGAAGAGATGCCAGCCACTTTTTCCAGATTAGCTTTAGTTCCTTGCTTGCGGTCTCTGGGCTCGCTGGCCTCACTGGACGAGCACTGTTGATCTGGGCTGAACGCATGGATGAGTCCGGGACAGAAGAGGGTTCACGGCTAATCCCTTCCTCTGCGTCGGAAGCGTGGGAATCCCGCTCATCGTTGACGACCACTTCTACTTGGCTTAGCCTCTGCTGATATTGCTCTCGTTCAGAATCACTGTCTGAAAACAACTCGCTGTCAGACACTTCTTGCTCTTTACCCTCTTTTTTAGTTTCCTCTGCTGATTCTTCCTGTCCCTCAGAAACCTGTGTAGATTGCGAGTTCAGGTTGGATAGCGATTCTACTGAATCTATGTTGCGGGACGGCTCTGGATGGGTGTCCGAATGTAATTTCAGCATCTGGCAGAATATGTCTCCAGCTCCTGTGAGCTGGAACACAGAGAGGAAGCCTTCATTCTGGGCTGCTGCTAGACCTGAGGGGGAAAAAAAACAAACACTAGTTTTCAAAGTTGCCTTATCACCAATTTTTACTTAATGCAATCAGTTTATAACAAGAAAGAAGCAGAGTGACTGCTACTGCTGTGGCACAAATTTGAAAAAAGTATAAAACATGAACAACTATCAGTTGAAACTGACCAATCGGCAACTGGCTATATTATGCATTTACATAATCTGGCAAAAACTTTTCCATCTTATTCTTATTCTCATCTAGTTTGTCAGTTCTTCTTCCAAAATATTCGAGAGGCAAACACCACATTTAGACAGCAGGTGTTTGGTTATAATTTTGGAAGTTTCTTAGCCTGCGGTCGTGCAGCAGGTAAAAGTGGCCCAAATCCAATCTTTTTCTTCACATGTGACACAGATGTGTGTCTGTGTGTCAGTGTGAACAGATAAACACACTGAATCTGGTATTTTCAGTTGTGATTTGAGACGCTTTCATATGTGGTGCTGAAATCTGATACGTATCCGATCTGCAGCCATGCGACTCAGTCTGAACAGCCAGATAGGAATTCAAGTGACTTTTACATCAATCCAACTCGACATTCGTCATAAATTCGCACTGCTGAGACTCAAACATTTAGGCTGATGTTTCTGTACCAAAAAATTAGAGAGACTTATCGCAACTCCTCCATGTTCGAATAGATTTCGAACGAAATGGCCGAACGCAGCCATAAGAGAATGAGGCTGCAGCGTCAAAGAAAAAAAAGTTTAAAGAATCCGAGGACACGAACTGGAAAACTGACCGAGCCCTTTTTACAGTGAGCTCGAACACATTCAGGGTAATGAGCCCAGCTGTCAGTCAGTGAAGCTTCATGATGGCTCCTGTGATGCTGGTGAAGATGAAGCTGATCCTCCGGGAGCAAATGGCGTTCGTTGGCAGTCGTGATTGTTTACCTCTGGATGAGCCGTGACGCTCTGTTCTTTTGCGCATGTGGGTCAGTTTAGGAGCTGATCTGTTCAGACTGATGTCACATACAGATCACATTTAAAAGATATTATGAACAGCCAAACAAAAAAAAATTGAATTTGGTGAGAAAATCAGTTTTGGGCCACTCTTACCTGCTGTGTGAAGTACCAGAAGCAAAAAAATGTTTTCATGCGCCAAAACATGCACGGTGTATTGTTCTCATTGTTTATATTGCACTGTGTAAACAGTTCCTCTGGTTACATTAGTGCATTCAGTGTGATTAAGTGAGATCAACATCCCTACTAGGTACACTCTACTGTACCTGCCTGCAGAGTTAAAAGGCAGGAAAAGGTTTAGTTCAGGTGTGTCCAAGTTTTCAAAGCAGGAGGTCACCTGATGAAATGTTTGAAGACTGAGAACAACTGATTAAACGAGTGGAGTCAGGTGAGTCGAGGTGAACTCCAGCTTGTTTGGAGTGAAAACCTGCAGCCACACCGACAATTCGCGGATAAGATTGGACACCCCTGGTTTAGTTTATACCAAACATTTTATCAAACGTACATAAAAACATTCAGTAATGGATCGAGATTCAACCTGCAGCGGGCACTGCCAGCCTCTCCTTCACTTTGTGCTGCCTGTGGGGGAGCTGCCGAATCGTCAGGCTCTCGCACGGACTGCAGAGCTTCTGAACCGGGCCGTGTGCCCGGCACGGCTCTTCACGCCCCCCTTTAATACACACACATGCAGACGGTGAGTTAATCCCAATACCAGCAACACAGTTCACCTGTTTTAGAGAGGTAGCAAGTTTAGCAGAGCTTAATGTCAGTAGATCCGAACACTTTCCTTCCTATCAAAGTACATATTTTAGCCTTCCGTCACTGTAAAAATAGGATTCCTGCAATCTAGTAGGTCTGCAATGATTGGCCGACGAAGCTGAGACTGATGATCGTGAAAAACTGTCAATATTGCTGCACTTGGAACAAAACTTTATACGTCCAAAAAAGTTCATTTTACAGGACAAGCAAAAACATTCTTAACTTTTAATGGAAGTAAATGGAGAAATATTTTCCAAGTAATTCTGGACCATTTCTGTTGGTCTCTTCATCATGGAAACTTGAGACAAGATAAAGGGCAACTTTATCAAATTATTAAGGCCTTTATCAAATTATGTCAAAAAATGAGAAACAACAAAAATTTGAGGGTTTGTTCCAAGAGCAACGATATGGATTTTTCTTGCTGATACATTATTTACTAAAAGAAAAAAGCACTAAAGAGCTCTACGATGTTCTTATCCCAAATCCAACAGACTGCAGGAAGCATAGGGGGTTATGTAACTTGAGAAATACTACTTTGTTTCTGTAACACAAAGCAGACGTTCACTCATGTTTCCAGACTTGCTTGTACACGTATGTGTTTGTGTGCCCGTGTCCCCTCCTGACCTGAGTACTGCAGCAGCATAGTCTCCTGCGCTTTCTGCGCTCCCAACAGAATTTTGGAGGTGCCTTTCGAGTCCAGTGCTGGCACAATTTGGGCAAAACATGGAGGGGACTCCATCATGTGCTCCCACTTCAGCGCAGGAACACTCGGCATTCGCTCATCCATGACATACGCAGAGAACTGAGAGAGAGAAAGAGAGGGAGAAACGGCTTTTAATTCCACATGATGACCGATTTAAACATCACCCTGTCCTTCAGTGACTGACTGCAGTTCAACACGCTCCATCTGTTATGTGTATGAGCGCCACATGTCTTCCTAGCTACACTCCAGGTTATGCTAAGATTTCATGAGTTGAGAAAACAGGATTGTCTGTAATCAAATGCAGTCTAATGGTTATAAATTGGCCATGTGTGAAGGAGAGAAAAAGCACAGGCGATACTGTTTTGATTACTATCATGTATGAAAAAGTACTAGTACTGTGATTGTATTGCAAGATGTTACAATTAAAATGCACCTTTCTACACATTTTTGTCTTTTTTTACTTTATTGCATAATTTAGCAGCCTCTCATATTGTGTTTTACACTGTGCCTTTTACATTTGTTGTTTACACCATTCAGGCATAACATGATGACCCCCTCCTTGTTTCTACACTCACTGTCCATTTTATCAGCTCCACTTGGGCAGCGTCCTGTGGGCAGCGTCCTGTGACCACTGATGAAGGACTAAAGGATGACCAACACAAACTGTGCGGCAGCAGATGAGCTATGGTCTCTGACTTTACATCTACAAGGTGGACTAACAAGGTAGGAGTGTCTAATAGAGTGGACAGTGAGTGGACAGTGTTTAAAAACTCCAGCAGCACTGCTGTGTCTGATCCACTCAGACCAGCGCAACACACACTAACACACCACCACCACGTCAGCGTTACTGCAGTGCTGAGAATGATCCACCACCCTCTGCTCTGTGAGGGTCCATGGGGGTCCTGACCACTGAAGAACAGGGTAAAAGGGGGCTAACAAAGTATGCAGAGAAACAGATGGACTACAGTCTATAACTGTAGAACTACAAAGTGCACCTATATAGTAAGTGGAGCTGATAAAATGGACAATGAGCGTAGAAACAAGGTGGTCATAATGATATGCTTGATCAGTGTATGATCAACTGACCAAGGTCGAAATTACTTGGGAAAAAAAAAACATCAGTTAAAAGTAAAGTTACTATTCTGGAGTTGACTGATGAAAATAAACGAGTACCTTTATATAAACCATCTACAGAAACTAATCTAGAAAACATTGTGACTGGTTGTAGGGCTCATTTACATACTGCAGTCTTCTATTTCAGTACTGCCAATAAGGCCAACAGCGCAATAACAACTTACAGAAGATATACTGTGCAAACACATGTAGATGAGTAGAACATGTATTAGTGCTGATAGAGCCGCAATTCTCACTATAGATTGAGGGACCAAACGGCTACGTATTGGTATCAGCTCAAACACTGATTGGTCCATCTCAAGTTCTCACCTGTGTTGCGATGAGGTGGTGGTGAGCGTGACCCTGGCCCAGATATTTGGCTAAAAACACCCTCTCTCCGCTTTTACAGCCAGCCGTCTTCCCAATCCGGAAAAGTGTATGAGAACAGTCACTGCTCTGGGAAAAGAGGATACTCAATCAACAGCCAATCAACAGGCAAAGCACAAAAGCTGGAATCTATTCATTCAGGCACCGGCAGGGCCATGAAACGGTAATCAATACAGCTTTGAGGTTCAGAACGTCCTACAGAGATGTTTCTGTGCGTCTTTCATATTCCTATAATTCAACTCTCAAGCCTTGCAGTGGTGAGCACTGCGGCAAAAACTTCATACTAATAAGACATTCCCACTACATACATATTCAGCCTTTCTCAGTTCTAATATGGAACAAACACAATGTAACCCCAACAAAACAGGAGCACATTTTAAACAAGCCGTCAAAAATCTGTTTTTCTTTTATATTTGACATTTTATGTTTCACATATCGCATCCATCTGGACTGAAACTCTGAACTTCTTTGGCCCAATCCCATTTCACCCCTCGCCCCTACCACTGAGCCCTTAGCCCTCTGTTTTGTGTGTTCATGTCTAGGGGTGGGGTGTCCTGATTCTTGTTGAGATAGAGGGGGAGGGTGAAGTGTTGGGGCTACATGACCCTCCAAACGGAGGTTTTTCAGAGACTCCAAACAGAGAGATATGAGAAAAAAGAAAAACCGGCAAGATGGAGAACAAGAGACCAAAGAAACCCACAAATGTGAGAATTCTCACCATTAAAATTACGATAACCACTGTTTTATCTTAGCTTAATGTTGTTTCTATGTATTATGGTCCTTCGTAACAACCATAAAAAATAGCTAATAGTACACAAATATTGTGGTAGCTAGTTGGCTAACTTTCCCGTTCCACCTTAAATAGTCCAGCAGTTCTGACGCCTGAAGCGCCAGAATGTAACTGCTGCTCCATTTAAGGTGGAACGAGAAAATTCAAACAAGAAGCTGGTGAATATCTGACTTCAGCTTCATATCACTGAAGAATTAGTGGTGGGCGATAATAAATAATTGGGATTGGGTCTAATAAAACATGCAGTTAGCCAGTATTACATCTACAGAAACAAGGTCATACCCTGCTGTCCGTGAGCTCCGCTCCTGTCCTGTCAGCAAAAACCATCACTCTTGGGTGTGCCGAGAACTCACACCATCGCCACAACGACTTAGCATTGAAGTACAGGTTTGAGCGCTCATCACGAAACTTCTGAGGCCTGAAAGATAGAAATTACCCCACAAAACCGCCTTAATTACACTGAAAGGACTGTTTTTATACAGTAAAATACAACAATGGCAACCTTTACAGGCAGAGACTTTCAATTTGTTTGGATTGTACATTCCAAATTGTGTTTACAGATATATCAATCACGTCTTCCTCTCCTGATACAGATTCCAGATACACTAACAGTGCTATTTTCTTTTTCTTCAGTTAAAAATTTGCAACACAGGACTGTAATGACCCATCAGTACAAAAGATGGAAAAAAAAAAATTAAATAATAATAATAAATTATGGTGTGTGTGTATATATATATATATATATATATATATATATATATATATATATATATATATATATATATATATACGCTTCAGACTGATTAACAGTTCTTAACATACGTCAGTCTTGAGAAAACTTTATATTCACTGTTTAAAGGAATTTTCATTTATTTTTAATTTGCTTTACAGAAACCAAAGCACTGCCTTTGCTCAAACACTTACTTGAACATATCACTGTTTTGAACCTTCTGGTCAGTGATGTGATATGACTGACTGATTACACACGATTACTATCATCCATTCAAACTAATTTGAAAGCTATACTATATATAAACTATACGAAAGCTTTTTAAATTTAGACTGACCTGTTAATCAAATTATTATAGCTTTATCAGGTTGCATGTAAGCACAGCCACAACCAACAAAGGGTAACTGGGTGGGATCTATACTCATAAGAACTATCTGAGGCGCAAAACGCCAAACATAGAGCTCTTCTGCTAAAACATAGTGATGAAGTCCAGGACGTAATGTACACACACACATAACAAGATACACTCCCCCACATAAACACACACACATACACACGGACTCACCGGCTTCCCACAGTCCAGTGATAAGCTGCTCCGCTTTCAGTGGCCACAACAAGTTCTGCACGAACATGAGGACTGCAAACAGAAAAGGAGAGGGCGCTGCTTAGATTACAGATTAACATTTACAGATTAAGAGCTTGTAGTGTGAACTGTGTAACTGACCACAGATACACAATCATGGCTGATAAATATGAGATTAACTTCATGTCTCCTATTCTCGTCATTCTGGATAAACACCCAACGTCCAGTACTGATTCTTCAGAACTATAACGTCCTGTAAATGTAGTTCATATCCTGACAGACAGACAGATGTCTCAACATCTTTCAACAAACACCAAGGCCCAATCCCATTTCTTATTTTCACCCCTACCCCTTGTTTTCGAGTGTCACCCTAACCCCTTTGAACTGAGTTACAGGGTAGTGGTTGAAATCTTCCCTCTGAAATGGGACCCTCAAATAAAAAGAGCATCACTTCATTAACAGCTACTAGCGCTGCTCTGTAGGCGACCCTGCCAGTCTGCAGTGACACCAGAGGAGGGTAAAGTTCAGCTCCTCACTGCTGGGCTTTAGTTACATTTAGGGCATCATATGCCTTCAAAGAGGGGGGCAATTATTTATTATCACCCACCCCTAATTCTTCGGTGATGAAGCTGAAGTCAGATATTCACCAGCTTCTTGTTGGGATTTTCCTGTTCCACCTTAAATGGAGCAGCAGTTACAATCTGGCACCTCAGGTGTCAGAACTACTGGACTATTTAAGGTGAAATGGGAAATTTAGCCAGCTAGTTACCGAGTCATCAGCATAATACTAATAATTCTATTATATTACTATAATTATATATATTTTTTGTCTTTGTTATGAAGAAAACGACCATAATACACTGAAACGACATTAAACTAAGATAATACAGTCGTTACTGTAATTTTTTAACAGAGAAAATTCTCACATTTATGTGTTTCTTTGGTCTCTCGCCAGTTTTTCATTTTTCTCATTTCTCTGTTTGGAGTCTCTGAAAAACCTCTGTTTGGAGGGTCATGTAGCCCCAACACTTCACCCCCCTCTATCTCAACGACGAATCGGGACACCCTACCCCTAGACGTGAATGCGCAAAATGGAGGGGTAGGGCTAAGGCTATGTTCACATTACCAGGCTGAAGTGGCACAAATCCGATTTTTTGCCCTAATGTGACTCAGATCTGATGTTTTCAGAGCTGTGTGGACACAAATCTGATCTTTTCAAATCCAAACTGAGCCACGTTCATATGTGGTCCTAGATCGGATACGTATCCGATTCGTGACCATGCGACCTTAATGTGACGCTCGGATCGGAATTCGTGTACTTTTCTCTCCACAGCTCGTGCGCCATCATTCAGCGTTACCATGGCAGCAGCGCCGAACAGAAGTTAAAGCCTGTAAACGATGGAAAAGCAGCTCATCTCATCTTTTTCTCCTTCGTCTCACTCTAATAATGAAGCTGAGAGCTGATCAGAGTTAATTATCTTCTCAGTGAAGCTCGTTCTGCTTATATATATATATATATATATATATATATATATATATATATATATATATATATATATATATATATATATATATATATATATATATATATAACCATCAATGGTTCTGCTATTTGACAATGTCAAGCTTGTGACCACAGAAGAACCCTTTTGTCATTCTATATAGAACACAATATACACCACGATCAATCTGAAGAAACATTGGAAAGAACTATTTAAGCGTGAAATGGTTCTATATAGAAATCATGGTTCTAAATACAACCATTCCCTTTACTAAAGAACCTCTGAAGAACCATCTTTAAGAGTGTACAAACACTCTGATGTAATTACTAGGCTTGTGCACAGACAGTTTCAGAGGGAAAAAAAGGGACAAGCATATGGCACGAACCCTCATCCAGAGATACAGGCAGCCTAAAATAACACAGACACATGCTGATATGGGTGTTCTTCCAAGCAGCACAGAGGGCGAAAGGACTGTCCACTACTCTACTGGACTAAAAAATAATAAAAAAGAAGTTCTAACTCTCTTTCAGGAGGTGGTGTTCTTTCAGAGCTCCACAGAGCCTCATATAAATCCATTCATTATGGTAGTGAAACATTAGGGCTAGGATGTTATTAGTGACCCTTACAGCTGACATCATGTTTGGCTCTTAAAGAGACATCGATGCTTCTTCACTGTCAAGCCCCTCCTGGGGTCTACCTGCGCAGTCCTCAGAATTAGAGCAATATGATATTTACTATTATCACCATAAACGACATCACAATATAGTTTTCTGAGCATATCGTGGAAGTTTCATTAAAAAGAGGGTAGAATTATACACGTTTAACTGGGTTCTGTGGAATTATGAGTATATTACTATCATAATTAATAAGAAATCCATAATCATACACTAAAAGTGCATTAACAAAAGTATACTAATCCCCTCACTAAGGACAGGCCTTGCTGTATGTAGGTTGAGGGATTTTGCAATGGAAAATTTCTGAAGCTTCTAGAAGCTGGTGTGTTTTGCTGTAAGGGCAAGCTGACCATAAAGAGTGAAGCCAAGCTGATAGGGAACCGGACAGTATCAGTGTTGGAACCAGTTTCAAAAACATAATTTGATTACAAACCTTGAGAGGATGGGAGTAGCCTGGAATAGCTGAGTATGCAAGTAAAAATTCAAGGACACGTGAGTTGAAATAAGAGTTTCCAACTGAAGTGTAAAAATAAGAAACAATGGGAACCAAAGTGAAATGAGAAAAGGTGAGAGGGAGGGGGCGATTGCTTCATCGCCCCCAAACAGGGTATAAAAATTGATGTTTCTGTATTGTACATTGCATTTGGTTGTCCGGAGCCATTTTGCCACCTGAAGCTTAATAAATGAAGAGGGCCTTTTCCTTCCTTCAAAAGAATTCAACGGCTGAAGTCTTTTATTCAACTTTCTTTTATTTTTGACTGAACTTTATTTTATTTTTGCGTTTATGGTGAGAACAAGCAACTACATTTATTAAAACTCTTAAACATAGTTATGGAACGGATTAATTTAATTTTATCCATATGTTGGGGCGTTGAGCGAGCGGGAATCACCTTGGTCCTGACAGTTTAGTGCAGTTTGTGAGCTACTGAATAAAAATCAGTGCAAACTTCTGATATTTTTTGCGTTTTAGTAATGTGGCACTGCTGGTCCCAACAAATAGGAATTCCACCAATTTTTCAAAATTTCAGCATAGTTCAGTGTGTGAGATGTAAACAGTGATTCAGTGAGTGGTTTGGTGTGAAATGGTTCAGATGTCTTTATAGTGGTGGTGATGGGAACCAGGGGTCGCCATGACTACAACACAAATATTTTATTTACTATCCAAAACCTCCAGTGAACCTACACGAGTCTTCTGAGTTTATATGGAATGTTGGAATGAACAATTACAGACTGTAGTCCATCTGTTTCTATGCATACTTTGTTAGCCCCCTTTTACCCTGTTAATAAATACACTGGTAATTACATAAACAAGGGAAATTCGCCAGGAAACCTGAGGCTCCCGCATTCTCTGCTGTCTCTCATTTCATCCTGACACATGCTGCAACATGTTTCACCTACAATGTACAGCATACAGTCTTCAGACTACGAACCACAGTGCACTGTGGTTAATGTAGTACTACAGTAGTAATATAGTATTCATCTATACAGGGACCCTGCAGCTCCTCTGCAAGAGGACAAGTTATAAAAGAGCGACTTCACAATTAGACACATCTGACAGAGCTAGAGCTTTTGTTGGGATGGTGCCCTGCAGGCTTGTCCCAAATACTCGAGTCTGGGCTCATTTCGCTGGTTTGTTTTCACACACAAAAACTTTGAATGCCTTCTTCTCTCCATATGTCTATGGCTTCTTTTCCACTGTTGAGCCAAAAGGTTCTCAGGGCCTTACTGGGCCATTCCGCGCTGGTCTGGACTCTGGTTTCTTTATCCGTCTGTTGCACCACTAAATCAGGACCAGGAAATACTAAAGAAAACACAAACGAGTGGCTAACTCCTAACAGGCTAACACAGGCTAATCACACACTAACCTGCCCACCACAAAAACACATTTGATTCCGTCTGTCTCTCCAACTCCAGTCTCTCTCGGCCTAATCTCCAATTCTCTATCCTCTAAACAGGTGTTTGAGCATCAGTTACTGAAACAGCCTGTTCTGCGCTGAGTTTCCCCTGTAGCCGCATAACTACATTAGCAATTTCATCGCCAAGCAGGGTAACATAAGAGTATGGTATTCCGTACGCTGCAGTATTCCGTACGCTTGCAACTTTTCCTGCTTGTGTAATAAAACCACTTTCTTGACATCTGTCAACAATACATCTGAGACATTGTCATATATCCTTTTATCCATCAAATTGGTTGGCAAGACCATCTAAGCTGGGTTTGGACATCAAATCTATGCAAATAGTGACCGACCCCCCCCCCAGCGCCACACGAACAGGGCGGGTGGGGAAACCCAGGGATGCGAACGTGAATGGGGTGGGGAAACTTTCACGGCCAGTTAAAATACATTTTAACACGTTTAAACATCACATTTAACACTAAAACAAATATTAAACAGTGGATCATCACCATGAAACACAGTATGTTTAGTACTGAGCTGTTCATCTAAGTTTACACTGTCAGCTAAGTGACCTCAGCAGACTCCTTTCAGCTGCGCCACAGCGCCAAAGCACCACAGCACAGTTCTACTTTATCTTTGTCACTCTTATAAGTTTATCATCTGTACTTGTGACAGCAGAGCAGTCAGTCGAATCAAACCTGCACTGTGGTGTCCGTATCTCTTTAGCCAAGTTAGCTAGGAGCGACGAGCTGGCTAGCATTAGCTTAGCTGGGAGGCTCCAGCTCCAGACACCAGAGAACAGGTTTAGCTTTCCGTCTCTGTAACATCAGCCACTCAACCCCATGAATCAACACCATCTAAACTTGTGTCAGTAAAGCTTTTGTTAGCCAGAACTGAACCCGTTCTGCGGTGAGCAGAGCTGGCAGCATGCTAGCTAAGCTAATGCTATCCAGCTATTCTCTCCTGGTTATCAGCGCCATTTAATATTTAGAAATTGGTGTTAGATTCCAGTTTGATGTTTACTGAGTGGACCACTGATTTCAGGAGGAGCAGAGATCGGTTCTCTGGAGCTCTGCCTGAAAACAGCTTTTACACTCGACCTATCGTACCGACCTCACAGAGCAAGCGGGAAAAAGCTGCAGTGTGAAAACGGCCAAAAAACTAGAACATTTTGCTTAAAGAACATTAAAGTTTTTTAACCTATGTTGAGCTTAACAGGGCTTTCAAGTAAAACCCACTTTTAAGTTTTTAAAGCCAGAGCAACAGATCAATAAAACAACCCAGACATAAAACACCTTCCTCCCCACTTTAGAGTGTCAACAAAAAACCTGTTCCACAGCGTCGCATCTCCATCCACACTTTACGGTGAATTAGATAAGCAGGTTAGTGTGGAGTCTGAACACACAGGCAAACAGAAACGCCTTACAGCTGATTGGAAACATGGGAGTACGGCCTAAAAGGCATCTGAACTGAACGAAAGTTTGGACGCTCCTGGTCAAATTCCATGTTTTTGTTGATTTTGCATTTATCAAGTGAAAATAAACTCATCCTCTACAGAGAACAATTTAATGCACAATTACTGTTTATTTGCTGAACTGAACATACTGGGGGGAAAACTCAGCAAATTAATGAAATGTGTTAACATTTACAAAACATGTAATCTGACACATCGAAACTCTACAAATGTGAATAGATCATTAAAAATGTCTAGTAATATTTCCAAATAAACTACAGCAAACTCAAACCTATGAAGGGTTTTGTCCCAAAATGCATTAAGCACCATTGTTAAAGATTTTTTCCCATAATATATGTAGTTGGGAGTGCTATTTTATGAATAATACCACCGTTATTAGAGCAGCGTTCGTTTTCCGTTACATATCAGCTGTTGTTATTTTCAGAAACTCGTCACACCTAAAATGATTCCAAACGGATATACAGCATTTGGAATCAAACTTTTCATATACTGTCGACAAACATATTATAATTTATTAGACTTTCAAAAGGGCGCACTGTGTGAGGACTAAACCAGACCAGACGTTTAGAACAGACCACCTCACCGACATAAACGAAAGGGACGCGCTCAAACCCACCTGACGCTGATGCTGGTGCAGCACTCCTCCAGCTGGATCACCTGCAACGGTCGTGGACGTTGACCATCTTTCATCATCCACACACCACAGAAATGATCCAAACGCACCCCGATGGTAGCTACACACAAACACACACACAGAAATGCACCTGTCAAAATGATATTCCAAATTTGAATATTTGGAATTTGACTAATTCAGTGACAGAAATGTACAAATGTAACACAGAAAATGCACATTCGAATGTTAAAAGCTCTCTGCTGTGGCTTTTTCTGCTACATTTGGTGTGTGTGTGTGTGTGTGTGTGTGTGTGTGTGTGTGTGTGTGTTTCCACTCTGTTTTAGCTTGTAATGTCACTATGTATGAGAGTTCACAGAGAAAAGTGCGTAATTTGGTCAAGTTCACCTTCCTGACTACTGGAACAATGCAGAACATATGAAAGAACACAGAAGACCACATAAGAGAGAGAACACATTTAAAAACGGCTTTAAATTTTACTGCACACAAAATCCAAAGCGTCCCAGATGGTTTCCACCGGCCACATCTTATGTTTTATTTTTTCTCCAATATGCTAAATTCAGCAAATAAACAGTAATACATGGTAACATCACCATCTACAGTCCAGATGTCAAACACAAGGCCTGCAGGCCAAGTCAGGCCCATGGCACAAGCCTAATATATTAATATAAGCCCCTTTTACCATGAGCTGCACTACAGTTCCCAGCATGCACTGCAACGTAACATGTGCTCCTGCCCCCTCCCCAACAGCGATCTATGATCTATGACGAAAGGGCAGTTTTCTACTGTACATTCGGGACATTTAAAGGGGTTAAACAGTGATCTGTAGCTGGTGAAACCTGTTCTTTTACATATAAAAAATGTTTTATCTTAACAGTATTTTCGAATCGTTTAAGTATTCAGTGCCTGTTTTTGCCGGTGCACTTTGAATAAATAATGGCCAGTTGAGGTCATGGCAAAATGTTAAGTAAAAAAAAAAAAAACAACAAAAAAACAAACAAAAAAACAACAACAAAAAAAAAACACTGTCCCACAGATTTGTTGAGAACCACTTTTAGTGGTTCAGTTTGACAGCCCTGACCTACAGGAATCAAAAGAACACAGGAATCAGCTGTGCCTCACATTATGTTACTGTTCTTTACAACTTTTGCCCATTTTTACAGACAATAGAAGCTTCCAGAGGTGGAAACAAATCACAAGTCTTCATACTCAAGCCCCAAGTCAAGACAGTTGAGTTTCAATTTAAGTCCCGAGTCAGTACAGGCGAGTCTCAAGTTGAGTCCCAAGCCAAAAGTGCTGATCTTCGAGTCCTAAACAAGTCAGTCTGCATTCTTCAGCTAATTTAAGGCCACAACACTGAATAACGGTAACACTACTATAGCCTTTTAATGACAGGACGTCAGCAGTGTGTGGCTGTAGATTCATTCATTAATTTTTTTTTTTTTCCTTCCAACTAAAATACAAAATCCATGATACAAAGATAACCAAAACAGTATGCACAAAGAGTAGTGCAACTATACATGAAAAGGATTTTAAGAGTACTACTGAGCTTAATTTAAAGAAAAAACAAACAAACTTTATATTTAAAGATAATTTTTGATGATTTTGGGAAACACTGGGCACAGGATTACATTAAAAACTTGGTCTGCCAACTTAAAAACAGCTGCTAGTTTAAACTGAATTTAGAGGACAACAGAAACTAAAACGGCCAAACGGAACAGTTTATAGAAAAGACAGCAAAATGACGGTGAAAGACGAAGCTGAAGTTGCCTTTTTTGTCGCCAGCAGCTTCTTATTCAAAATTTCCGCTCTCCACGTTTCTTCCACTTTGCGTCTCGAGTCTTTCCGAGTCGTGAAGTTAAAGTCAAGTCCCAAGTCTTTCTCGACTTTTGAGTCGAGTCTAAAGTCATCAAATTCGTGACACGAGTCGGACTCGAGTCAGATTCGAGTCCAAGTCATATGACTAGTCTACATCTCTGGAAACTAAACATGTCAACTTCTGGGGTCGGGGGGAAAATTATATTTGATTACTGGCCCAACAATCGCCTATTGGTTTCCTTGACCAATTTGATGTTGATTTTAGACTTGTTGGACTAGAGATCTCTAGGTGGGCATACAAGGGCACTTCAGCCTTACCTTCATCATCCACTCTGGCCGTGCTGATCTGTCTGACCGATCCATTCAGTTTAAACACCAGGGGTGCATTTTCCATGTTCATAAAGGGAGGTTTGCCATCATTGAATTCCAGCACCACTCTGTGGAAATCTGAGGTAACACAGTTAAGTACTGAAAGGTGAAGGTGAAAGTAAGTAAATGTAAGTGCATTGTGCCTCATTTCAGAACCAGATGGAGCTGAAACACTCCTCATAACTTCAGCATGAAAGGGTGAGGCCACACTACTGTATGCGGAATAGGCAGATGTATGGAAATACACTGTTTTTGACATAAAACAATGAATTTCAGATCGTTTTGACAGCCCAGTTTCCATAACTGGACTGTAAGGACTGGGAAGTGAACGATATGTTTTGAGTCCTTAACAAAGATTGCAAATGTCAAACTCATCAAAAAAACAAGAAAGATATGCTACACATACATACATCATCCCATACACACACACTGACCAGTTCAACTGTCAATCCAGTCTGATTTCTCAGCTGTTAGGATTTGATCTGACAGCAGAGACACTGAATCCTAAAGTGAAGGATACTCAGAGAGTCGAGAGCTTCTCCTCTGGGATAGACGAGACAGGCCTCTTTCTGGCCTTCAAAGTCCTCCAGAGGAAAGTAGCCTAGAGCGCCTCCGGTGGTGCTGGGCTGGAATTCCTCCAGGTCCTTCTGGAGAGTCAACTCCTCATGGAGAAGCTCAGCCAGGAGAGCTGATGGAATATCACAGACAACATCCTTCAGTAGGTTGTGATAGCGGGGCACGCGCTCCAAAGTATGTTCCAACTCACACCTGCAAAAGGACATGGGACTAGACTGCATTACGGCCGTCCAGGACACACTTTAAAATTAAGTTATGCTTGGGCCCAATCCCGTTTCACCCCTCGCCCCTATCAATTAGCCCTTAGCCCTCTGTTTTGCATGTTCACGTCTAGGGGTAGGGTGTCCTGATTCTCGTTGAGATAGAGGGGGAAGGTGAAGTGTTACAAACTACAAACTGGCAAGATGGAGAACAAGATGGAGAACAAGAGACCAAAGCCATCCACAAATGTGAGAATTTTCTATGTTAAATATTACAATAACCACAGTATTATCTTAGTTTAATGTAATTTCAGGGTATTATGGTCCTTTTCTTCATAACAACCATAACACAGTGACACTAAAACGAGTAAAGTTCATTATTTGACCGTAGAGAAGGAAAAAAAAAAACAGTAAAAAAAGAAAACTAATTAAATGGTTCTGTTCAAATTGATGTAAAAGGTACTGAGTTGTGGTTTACCTTTTTAGGTGACAGCACTGATGCTGCACCAAAGAAGTCAGCATCATGCAGAGGAATACATTTCAAAACAGTTATGCAAAAATAGCTGGGTAGGTTTTCATATCTAGTGAGCAAAATAAGCCAAAGAGGAGCTAATGAGCTAAAACTACAGCTAACTATTAACACTGGATGATGGAGACTCGTCACCCTCTACAGGTGTTTTTCTCCTCATTGGATGACGTGCCAACATGTTAGTTTGTCAGAGAAATGTATCTGAACTGTTTCTGGACCAAATATCAGGCCAGCCTATTCAATGACAAAAGCCTCGCTAACTCTGCCACCTCTGCACTTTCACATTTCACAAACCTGTTAAAACACAACGTTTCACAAAATTGTTGGTTTTTCTCCGTCTACCTGTGACGAACTACAACAAATATCCAAATAAAGATCCCAGTATTCAAATACTGGCACCTCAAACGGTTAACCGAATACTCAAGCACCTGTGCCCACCCCCAGCTGACCCCACGAAAAAGTCTACGTCCACATTACCAGGTTGGGTTGAAGTGGCACAAATCCGATTTTTTGCCCTAATGTGACTCAGATCTGATGTTTTCAGAGCTGTGTGGACACAAATCTGATCTTTTCAAATCCAACCTGAGCCACTTTCATATGTCGTCCTAAATCAGATACGTATCCGATTCGTGGCCATGAGACCTTAAATGTGACGCTCAGATCTGAATTCATGTGCTTTTTTTCCACTGCGCTGCGCCATCATTCAGCGTTACCATGGCAACAGCACCGAACAGAAGTTAAAGCCTGTAAACGGTGGAAAAGCAGCTCATCTCACCTTTTTTTCCTTCGTCTCGCTCTAATAATGAAGCTGAGAGCTGATCAGAGTTAATGATCTTCTCAGCGAAGCTGAGATCAGATCTGAGCAAAAAATCGGATTTGAGCAATGAGGCTTGTAATGTGAACATAGCCAAAAATAGGGTACCCCATCTCTGAAATGCCACTGTAAGCCAGACTTACTTCTTGTATTTTAAGCAGTCCACAAACTTATGCATCCTTCCCATTTTGATGCGATCCTTAAAATTGACAACTTAATACATAATATAACGAGTAAAGGTTGACGTGTAACAAACAATTTAGACGTACATACCTTACACCACTTTCTTCCAAAGTTAAAGTGTTCTCCAAGCAGCTGGCCCATCGTAAAGAAGGAATCCTTACAGTGATGCACATAGAAATGCTGCATCTACAAAACTAAGCACTGTAATCAAAACCACACAGACAGCCTCCATAACATCCCACTGGCATCCCTTCCTCCATTTGGAGAAAGTAGACAACTGACACAATAACAACTAATAAACCTGTATAGTAAACTTACATGCTCAGGGAAATCATCTGGACTGACTGGTGGGCCCGAGAAGATCTTGGCAGCTTGGAAGGGGGAGGAAAAAAAACTTGATCAATTGAAAATGGAAACAGTACTTCATAAAACATTACACATACCATAATGTTTTTTGGAAAAAAAAAATAAAAATAGCGACAATCTCCACAAAAGAGGTGCAGACTAGACTGAATAATTAGCAAACTGAATGGTTCAGTTTAAGAAAGCTTTAAGTTAAAACACTGGCCTCTTTTGCACTACAAACCCCGATGGTCTACAGAAGAAAAACTACGCACAACAGTGGCTCCGGTAGGGCTAACAGGCTAAAAGCTACAAATACACCACAGAACATGTTCAATTCCAGCTGTCACTCCAGCACCAGTCACTTGACACTGAGCTCTCAGATATGAGTCTTTATCCTCCAAGCGTGTGTAATCAAAACTAGATCTGAGCCTGTAATGTGATGTCTGGCACTATCAACCTGCTAACTAAGCTAACTTTCAAACTGCTAAGCTAACTATCATATCCTGTGGAAAAGGAGCTACCATGATACCTTAAGTACAACCTAAAACATAAAAATAACAGATAAAGGTGCAGTGATGTTGATTGTTGACTGGCTAATGAAAATGGGACAATGCATTCACTTAAGACAGCACAACAGATGGTTACACCAAATGCTAAACTCCATGTTTTGTCCATCAGGTTCTATCAAGTCACTGAGCTTAATCCTTAATTTTTTTTTTTTTCACTGAGAAATTGAGTTTTATTGATTTGTGAAAGCCCTATTTCAGTGAGACTGATCTGCTAATATTGGCATCTTTTTTTTATCCATTTTTGCAAAACAGCTGTAGTGATCAGTCACAATCAGACGGTCCTTCACTTCCAGCAAAATGAATTCAACCACAATATCATTCAATACTGACAGCAGACTCTCCGTTTTAACCAAAAACAGGAGAGTTACAAACATTTTGTTTATTAAAAGAAGAAGCGTCTCACAGTTGGATCTGAATGAGAGCTTTGCATTACCTGCATTGGGCGGCAGAAGCGGCGTCACCACCGGCTCGACAGGGACCCACATCTCTCCCTCTGCCACATGCTGGGCCTGAAACTCCCATGGCGTCTGTCCTCGCACGCCAACCAGAGACAAAGTGCAAGAAATGGCATTTTAATAAGTACGTATTTATTCCAAAAAGACAGAGACGCTGGATTTTAGCTTTTAAAGAAAATGACCCTGACTGGTCATTGGTGATTTGTGTGTTCATGGTTCTATATAGAACCATTTTCTTTAATAAATAACCCTTGAAGAACCACCTTTTGTTCACATTTGTTCCAACACTTATTACAGCAAATTACTGCAAATCCTGGAAATTTGAAAGGGAACTGCACTTCATCCCTTTTTCGAAATATCCACATAATTAAGTGATTAACATATAAACAGTCTTACAGAGTCAGAATTGTTCACAGTGGTGGTGATGGGAACCAGACGTCCACCTCTAAAAGCTCTGTTATGAGGACACTGTATATGTAGGTTCACTGGTGGTTTTGGACAGTAAATAAAATGTCTATATTTGTGTTGTAGTCATGGTGACCCCTGGCTCCTATCACCACCACTGTAAAGAAACCAGAGTCACGAGTTTGCCTACAGTTAACTAGGTGCATTTCACATTACAAGACTCTGAATGACCGTGGTGGGCTTTTGGTGGAATTCCTATTTAAGATCCTTAGTAAGAGAGCCCGGTGTGCTGGTCAGACTTGAAGGAAGGTCTACAGGACTGGTTAGTGGCATGAGTGACTGTAAATGGTCAGCCACTTTGTCCTCACACCTGGCCTCCAGGTTAACAGTCGATGGAAAATCTGTACTGCCTTAATCTTAAGGGCTTTGACCTGAATACCTCTGTCAGAGAAGAAGCTACACACGCAGCAAGACTCATGTGTCAGACCCTGATCCTGGCTCAAGTCCCACAGCTAGTTCACTGGGCTCTGGCCAACACTGCTATATTTATCTACAAGTGAGCCTTCATGTTGAATCCATTCACTGATTCTAGCACTGTGGTTTTCAAGTATGGTCTTGAGAGCCTAAATTAATGGTCTTGTCCCTGCCTCAACATCACTGAGCACTAAATAATCCAATCATAATCAGATTTCTGCAGGTTTCTGATTACTCAAATGGTCATGTAAACAGCACACTCGGATTTCTTAGATTGGAAAAAGGTCTAGAAATCTGATGAAGAGACTAGATTTTAGCTCAGTAATCAGATTTCTCGGTGCATGTAAACTCTTACTCTGATTTCTTTCAGATTTCTCATTCTGAGCATGTGCGAAACAGACCGCAGTACCAGAAATAAGTGAGCAGCGTCACTGCAAAATGCAGCAAAACACTTTTGGAGCAACACTGAAACCAAATACATGCTTGATGAAATGAAGGACTTAAATATTCTTCGTTTTCTAGATGATGTATGTTCATATTTCAGGTAAAGTGGCGCAATGTTTAAAAAAAGCTGTGGTAAATCAGAGCGTCGTTATTACTTTGTTTTCATGTCATTATAAAAATGGATGCATGTTATTTGCTTTTGACTTTTGAATAACTTTTAGAGAAGAAGGAACAGAGAACAACCTCATCTTTACTTACTTCCAAAAGTTACAACGCAAAGTTGAACTAAGACTATAAATAATAACGATAAATATAAAGTTTAGGCTGATATTTTATTAAAAGTATTATAAAATCTTACATATTAATATATGTCATGTATAATAAATGAATTTCAACATTTACCTTTTTCTCTTTTTAATTTTACACTCTGAAAAAATCTTAATCTGCTCTCGGTCTCGGCTCAGACTCGCCTCTAACTAGGGCTGCACAATTAATCGTATTTTTATCGTTAACGCGATATGAGGTTTCAGGATAAACACATTGAAAGAGCCACGATAACGCCTTGAATAACAGCAAACTCAAATTGCATCACCTGCGTGCATTATCCGCGTGCAGCAACAGAGGGAGCTCTTCACGCTGCAGACTATGATCACGTGACGTAAGTAGGCAGGAGGCAGAGCGAGGTGAACACGCTCATCAGACACGCCATTTCTTAGTCCGGAAAAAAAAACGAGCACAGCCAGGCCAAGTGCCGAAAAATCTTCGAGAAGCGAAGACGTAAGTGAGGAGGAATTGGTTCCAAAAAGGGGAGGCATGTCTGTAGTCTGGGAATACTTTGGTTTTAGTCGAGATGACCAAGCTCAATCCAAGGTTTTGTGCCAAGAATGTCGAGCCGTTGTGGCTACAGTCACAGGGAACACGACAAACCTTCACTTAAAACACAACCACAAACAACTGTATGAGGAGTGTTCAGCAAAAAAGTCTGAAAGCACGGTTGGATCCGCCTCTTGTCACGATGCAGCTCCAAGTGTAAAACAAAAATCCATTGCTCAAATGTTCGAAAGCGTCACTCCGTATGATCTGGGCTCCCGGCGTCACAAAGAAATAACCGATGCCATCACATATTACTTGGCTAAAGATATGGTGCCATTTAAAATGGTTAGCAAAGAAGGCTTTGTGCACTTACTAAACAAGGTGGATAAACGGTACAAGATTCCGTCACGAAGGCATTTCTCCCATGTTGCTGTACCACAGATGTACGCTCAATGCGTTAGAAATGTACAGTCAGAACTGAAGCAAATTGAATTCTTTGCGTGTACAACGGATCTGTGGTCCGGTAGAACAACGGAGCCCTACGTGAGCTTGACAGTTCACTTCATTAACCAGGGCTTTGAACTGAAAAGTCGATGTTTGCAAACATCCTATTTTCCTGAAGAACACAGTGGGGAAAACATAGTTCTGGGCTTGCGAGACGCTTTGACGAGCTGGAGTTTGCGCGAAGAGTGCCTGGTGTGTGTTACCACGGATAACGCCACAGAACTGAACGACTGGCCTAGACTTCAGTGTTTTGGACACAGACTCCACCTTGCCATTGGTAAGTGTTAATTTTAATTTCAACCATTTTCCTAGCAATTTTATATAGTCACTTGTATACAGTAATCATTTGATTTATGAGACCTATTTTTATGCATACTGTCTGAACAACAACACCTGAAATTATAATAAGGTTGGTATTTGATTTATTTATTTGCTATTTGAAGAGTTGGGCTCAGTGGGCTGTGCTTACGTACAATGTATATGATATGCAAATTCATGTCATAAAATCATATTTACCTGCTTTAAATCACTTTAATTTTATTCAGCTTCAAAATCGGTCAATTAAAATCACAGGTTCTCTCAGAGAACAGAAATACACGACATCTGGTTCCTTCATGGCAGGACATAGAGGTCCTTGAATCAGTAAACAGGGCACTGAAGCCACTCCAGACGCCCTGTCTGGAGAAGATTATGTGAGCATATCTTATGTGCACCCAGTTCTTCAGCTGCTGAAGACAAAGACTCTTGCAGAAGATAAGGAGGACGGTGAGCTGACACGCTCAGTCAAAGCAAAAATTCTGGACTACATGGAGAGGAAGTATGAGGATTCTGCAACACAGTCTCTACTGGACACTTCTTTCCTGGATCCCAGGTTCAAGGCAGACTACATCAGTGCTGAAAACCTCATAGAAATCAAGGCAAAATTGATGGCTGAAATGAAGACAACACAAATGGTAAAAATCCCTTAATGCTGTGAATGATCTAGACACGACTATAGACATTTTCTCATGCTGCAAATAACCTTCACTATGTCTTTTCTAGGAGAGGGAACCTGTTTTTGATGCCACAGCAGAAGTACAGACAGGGTCTCATCAGAGCCATGGAGCACCAAGTGAGAAGAGGAAAAAAGAGGACTTTAGGAAGCCTGTTACAGTCTGCCATCCCCCCTACATCCTCCTCTGTACCACTACCCACTGACCAAGCTGTTGTCGAATCAGAATTTAACAGCTATCTTCTCATGCCCACAATTGACAGTGAGGGAGATCCTTTGGCCTGGTGGAGGAAGCACCACCTCAACTTTCCTCATTGAAGTGTGCTTGCCAGGAAGTACCTTTGTGTGCCTGCCACTAGTGCACCCTCTGAAAGACTTTTCAGTGCCTCAGGAAATGTAGTGACCTGTCAGCGTTCATGCTTAAAACCAAGCGAAGTAAATATGCTGGTTTTCTTGGCCAAAAATCTTTAAGATTTTAGGCATTAAGTTGATATGATAATTTGTCCAATGTGTGACTAAATGTAAAAAAAAAAGATATTAGGTAGAAGTCAGGAGAATTAATAGAAAAAATGAAAATGGATCGCTGAGCTTATTTGCAGTCTGTTGGCATGTTTTTGGGTTTATTTTTTTAATATTTTCCGACTGTAGAGTTCTACACTGTAAACAATGGTTTGTCTGTTCAACCTGAAAAATTACTTTATGTGGTAACAAGACTGAACTGTGTTTAATCAACTTTAAATAAATACTTTTAATGGTTCATTCAAAGTATTTATTTGAGTTAAATAAACCCAGTTCTCTGTTACCAAATGAAGTCTTTTTTTTTTTAGGTTGTACGGGCAAACAGCATTTTACAGAGTATACCTAACTTTAAGAAAAAAACTGCAAGTTTTTGTGCTTTTATGTTGGCTATGTTGCTTCTGTGATGCTGAGCTCTAGCTATAATAAGTTTGTGCTATTACCAGAAAAGAGAGCTTTTGTTTGTGTTTTATTTAATTGATTTTTTAACCCTATTTTTCTATTATTTACTTATGTATTTATTCATTTGTTTTATTATTATTTATTATTACTGAATGTTGAGAGAACACAGCCTTGCACTGCACGAAATGTTTGCACTATTATTACTTGTATATTTGTTATCTAATTTTAGATTTTATCTATTGTTGAATAAACCTGCAAAATATTTGGAATTATTCTGGATTCATTACACAGTGAAAAACAAAACAAATGAACGTGCTGCTGTTCAGAGAGACACTAAATTTCTGTATTTTCATCTTAATTTATCGTGTTTCACATCGATATCGGGATATCCAACAATGTTATCGCACATCGCAATTCTAGTCCATATCGTGCACCCCTACCTCTAACAGTCTTGACTTCAATGCTACTCATTTCTCCAAAGACACGTAATAACTGGGGGACAGTGTATGATTTATCCATAAGCAGGCACTGCGTTCCGGCTAGTCTGGCCTCTCGAATCCACAAATAGAACGTGGTCCTGTTACTGTCTGCCAGCTACCTGGACTTCCACCTAACTGTCTATAACCCTGAGACATAATACAGTAGATGCTGAGGCAGCCAAGTGTGTCTGAAAAGTGCATATATGTGTATATACACACACACACACACACACACATCCATGCGAAATGTTGTATACAAGTAACTGGATTCATAGTTTTTGATGGCACTTTTAAAATACCACATTATTTTATCTGTTCTAATTTACAAGATGTCAGAAAAAAAATCAATATTGTGACAACATTGGTCTCATAATCTTCCTGAAGTATCACGAAATTACATTTGGTCATATCACCCACCTCTAAAATGAGTTAGGTCCAAGAAAAGCTACCGAAAACCCTTTTAGAGGTGAACAATACGACAATATTTTAAATAGTCCTTAATTTATAGAAAATAACTATAATTTAAATTACAGTCACAATACTGGTTAGAAAAAAATCCCCAAATCATTCAGCCCTACACTCTTAAAAAAGATGGCCAATAGATCTGTTTAGACCCTTGAGTTCTGTATAGAATCATTTCATGCCTAAATGGTTCTTTGCATGGTGTACTGGTTTCTCTGACTGCTGGAGAACGTGTTGTATACAGTTCTATATAGAGGTTTTTTGAAAGTGGCTCTATATAGCACCAAAAGGGTTCTGCTATTGTTATAAACCTGACATTGTAACAACAGCAAAAACCTTTTTGGTTCTACATAGAACCATTTTCAAAAACAACAAATTCACCATCAATCTGAAGAACTATTCCACCATGCAAAGAGGCATTTTAAGGGGAATTCCACCAGTTTTTCAAAATTTCTCCATAATTCAGTGGTTGATGTGTCATTCCACAGAGTGGTTTGGTGTAAAACGGCTCATTGTAGAGACTCAGATTTCTTTACAGTGGTGGTGAAAGAAACCAGGGGTCACCATGTTTTCAACAAAAATAAAGACATTTTATTTACTATCTAGAACCACCAGTAAACCTACACGAGTCTTCTGAGTTTTATATATGGAATGTTAATGATGGTAAAGCAGTGGTGGGGGGGGGTTTCTTCGGGGACCATTTTGCTATAAAACACCCTTCATGTATAAATGTGTTGAAACAAGCTGAATAAAATGCGTTATGGGCCAAAACTAGAAGCCATCAGGCAGTGAATTCATAACCATTTCATGTAGTAACTTTCTGTGAGGGAGCTTTTAGAGCTGGACGTCTGGTTCCTATCACCACCACTGTGAACAATTCTGACTCTGTTTCTCTAGAACAGAGCGTTTCACACCAAACCACTCTGAATGACTCTGTTTACATCTTAAATATTTACCTATACGAAAATTTCGAAAAAACGGTGGAGTTCCCCTTTAAGAATGAAATCATTCTACATAAAATTCATAGAACCATGGCTTTTACGAAAGAACCATTGAAGAACCAGCTTTTAAGAGTGTAGTCAGAGCTAAAAGCGAGGCTGAAGTTGGCCTTCTGTTCGCCAGTTTCTTTTTCGAATTTTCCCGTTCCACCTTAAATGGTGCAGCAGTTAGATTCTGACTCCCCAGGCGCCCGAATGTAACTGCTGTATCATTTAAGGTGGAACGGGAAAAATAGAAAATGGGTGTATCAGTTTTCTGTCTGTACCTGAGCTGTTTTGGAGATTGCCCGCAGCACTTGTCCGTAGGAGCCCCAGCCACCGTAAAGGTGCAACGGCTTCAAATCCGGCGGTCCGTCGAGGTAAAAATGTGGGAAAAGCTGAGCCGGGAATTTGTTGTCCATGCTGCCCCCCGCTACCGAAACAAGTCCGGACATGTGCCCCGACCGCCTCCGCTCGGCCCGAGCAGCGGTTTCGTTACTATTCTGGATAAACTCTCTTTATAAAACCGCGTGAATGTTTCAGAACCTGCTCTAATTCATGTTTTTAAAAAACCACAGCATCACTTTAAGGACTTTTATATCCGACGCTGCCTGAATAAACCGAGCACATGGTGGCCGGCCGCGCGCGCGTGCCAAACAAACTACGTCACATCGGTTCGGGGACAGTCAGCTGACGAGACACTGACAGGAACGTCAAATTTCACAATAAAAGCCCCGGTTTAATTAGTCACACTGTAAACAGTTGTGCTTTTAAACTGAAAAAAGAAAGTCATTTTGAGTTCTTTGAACTTGTAATAACAGAAGAACAATTTCTGTTTCACATTTTTGAAAGTATTATTTGAAATTTAGTGAAAACATTTCAAATTATTCTGGTTCCTTATTATGTTGACAAGCTGCATAGTTACATCACATTGAGTATATTTTATTGTAGAGTTATTTAAAATGTATACACGTTTTGCCCTAATGTGTCATAACCTTTTTAGTTAGACTACAACAACCAGACTTTTTTTTTAGGGTTTAAAGGTTTTATTAACAAAAACTTCTTTTTCGCCTTGTAATTCCTGGTTTTTGTTTTAGTACCAATGGTATAGCATCTAGATAACATTATTTTATTATGCTTTACCTACATACATTAGAGTTTTCATGGGTATATGGGTTAAAATTGATAGTTTTTGTATTAGCCACATGCATCTTTCAAGAATAATATGTAAATATATGTATATTTAAAAGCAAATCATAGAATATTGTTTCGTTTCCTGGCCTGGAATCACAGGACGAGATTTTCTCTTCAGGTATAATTTTATGGTTTATGACAAGGAAATGTGGTCCAATCCTGTAACAAATCTATCCTGAAACAGTGCTCATTCCCACTGTGTGATGTGATGGTGTCAGCTGTGTAGTTCTTACTGTGGGGTCCATAGAGTGACTGAGTAGTTTCAGCATCATAGCCTACTTTTTGTAATTATTAATAAAAATATTTTTTTGCCAGTTTTATCATGTGAAGTCCTTTTTTCACTAAAATACCCAAAGAATACCTGTGACGGTCGGGAAGCCCCAGCACACAATCAGCCCTGTGAAGCCCAACCACCCAGAACGCTGAGAAAGAAGAACAGCAGAAAGTGACATATGTGAGACCACAGATACTGCACTATGATATCGCTCAGCAGCCAGATCATCACAGGAAGTAACAGCAAAGTGCAGGAAGACGTGTCTAATCTCTGATTTAAAATTATCCCCAACAAACCATCCTTTACGTTATCAACCTTTCAACCTGCTTTCATGACAAACAGGATGTGAAAAAGAGAAGTGCAGGAAAAGCAAGAGACAGGAAGAGAAGCGAGAGAGAGAGAGAGAGAGATTTTGCTTGTCCAGAGAGTTAGTTACAGTCCACTTGCTCTTTTCAGTTTCGATCAGGCCATGAGCAATTCGGGCCAAACAGCCCCAGATACAAATCACCACCACCAGAAACAGACTAATACTGGGACCAATACTGGGAATAAATAAAATAATTGTAAAATATATGTGTGTATATATATATATGTCTTATCATTTTAAACACAATTTCAAGTTGCCTCAATGGCTATTGTTTGTATTTCTTTTAACCCAATTTTCATTTTTATGGTCAAAATGAAATGTGTAGTTTTGTATTAGTGCGTATCTTATCTTGTCTATACTGTATCTTTCATTTAGGATGTAATCAGATGTAAATTTAAAAGTAAATCATACCGATATTGATATTTTTCATGCACATATCTTCCAATGATGACACAGAGGCATTTAAAGCTGCACTATGTAAGATATTTTTCTAAAAGAATTATCATTATTGACTCAGAAGAATCAAAACACTCATCCAAAATTCAGAGTAATCAGGTTGGGAGTTTTCCATGCTGTGTCACATGTCTTTATGTCTTAACGTCACAATCAAAGTCTCAAAAAGAAGGTCCAGCTTGATGTTTAGGTCTCAAATGATCTCAAAATCAACACTATACTCATAAAGATGTGATGACAAAAGTAGATAATTCACTCACATCCTCAGAGACACGTCCTTCACCAAGTTTTGACTGAGTTCTCTTTGAATCCCCTTTAATTCATCTGCTTGAGGAAGAGGACCGAAGCACAACCTGTGCTACAAAATGAAAGGTTTCATTCCAAATGCTGTACATTTGTAACAGTTTTGGATATAATACGTTTTTGTTAAGAATAACAGTTTATGATGGAAAGCACATTTTTATTTTGTTTAATAAAGGTGGTATTAATCATAATATTGCACTGATATTACTTGCATGTGTAAACCCCACTGCCAACAACATATATCATACAAAAATGAATTTTAAAATGCTCACTTATGGCAAAAATGATCATCATGATTAATTTGGTCAGTATTGAGATCACAATTATTTACCATGATCAATTACTGACTTTGGAAACATGATACATGATTAAACTTTAAGAATAATTTCCTTGATGAAATAAAATAAATAATACGTAATATATAAATCTATACATTAAAATAAGTAATATAATAAATTAAAATGAATAAGATGGCTTGTGCTGTAGTCCACCACCTACTACAAACTACTAAATATATCTAAAAATGATAAATAATAATAAATTAGACCAAGATAAATTAGATGAGTTTGGGCTTTTAGTTCTGCTGTAAAGAAAAGGGTCTCGTTGGATTTATAGCACCAGGCAAAACAAAAACATCGAGCATCATTGCGAAAAGGCACATTAAATGTTTTAATTTTATGTCAATTATCTTGTTTTCATAATCGTTGGAAGCCAAAATTGTAATTAAAAATAAAATTCGTCCAAAAATTAATCGTCCAGCCCTAGTCTGTTATGCTTTTTGGAATGAAACTCTTCAAATGTTCTTCTGCACATTGTATGCCATTACACATTTTCACCAGAGAGGTCTCCAAATCCCCAAAACTTACATAGAGGAGCTTTAAATGTAGAAATTAGGAGTAAACCTACCTGGACATTATGTTAACAGATCTACCTGTATTAGCATCGCACAAAAATGTAATGTGGGTTAGGTGGAGCAGTAAAATGAATAAAATGCAGATGTTTTAGTGCAGTGACCCTGCGTCACCTACACATTCTGCCTTTGTAGGGTACCATCATCACATGGTTTGAAATGATCTGTCCAATGCTATTTTTTTAAGCAGATATCTGCCAATACAGATATGATTCAGGCATCATCATGTATCCCTAAATCACACAATATGTGTTTTCATTGTCTGCCTTGACATGAATAGTAAATACTTACTTTGGGCAAAACATTTGCCTAATTCAACTCATAAAAACATCAATTTAAATGTTATAAATGGCTCCAAAACAATTTAATAACACAGACGACTGAATAAATTATTATTTTAGGCCCTTCTAAATCAGTAGCTCACAAGTGGTAAACATGTAATTCAGCAATTCACTGAGCAAGACACTCACTAGATGGGGAAAAACACACACAGGAAAAGCAGGGTGTAAATTTTAGCTTTGTTATTAGCTTTAATGATTCCATTGCAACATAAAGAGCGCTTACACACAAATGTCAAGCATTAAGCGGAACAGAAATGATCACAGTCTCTGTACAACAGAAAAAAAGATCTATGTACAAGGTTCACCTTGATCAACAAGGGTAGCTTTGTGCCAACTTCCTCCATCTTCTCTAACCCCCCACCCCCACCCCCCCTTCATCAACACAAACATACATCACAGTCCAGGCAGCACATTGTGCCCCTTTCAGTCCCGGCTATTCAAACGGCTCCTGATTTGTTTCCATGCATAATGGCTGCTGCCTGCTTTACAGTTTGAAGCCAAACGGCTGGAACTTTTCAGACCAAAATCCAAATCTTTTACTTTCCTACTGATGAAAGTACATGAATGGACAAAAAAACTGACCACACGTGTTCCGGTTTCGATCCAGAACTCAACAACTTCTTCAATTCCAGTATCCAAATGTCTTTTTGTTCTTTGCAGACGCAAGACGATTTTAAAGGTGCAATGTGAAGATTTAGTGGTGAGGTTGCAGATTGCAACCAACCGAGTACCCCTCCCTTTCCAAGCATGTAGCCGTCTGGTTTCACTGCTGTGGCCGTCTTGATTTCTCTTTGCTTCATGTTTTCACCTCTTTGACGACAAGGATTACCCCCTACCTCGCTTTTTCTTGTGCTAAATAATAATTTTGAGCCTCTATTTGTCAAAACTTAGGTTCTCAAACTTCTCACGACACAAAATGGTTAGCTAGCGCCAGCAGCAACCACTGATTCTTTTTCTTTGTACATTTCCAACCGGTGCTATAGCACTACCAAATTCAAGCTGCCGCTTCAATGTAAAAACGTGAAAGGTGCCCTCTAGAGGCAGTGTTTAGTTTGTCTGTTCTGGGCTACAGTAGAAACATGGCGGTAAACATGGCGGCCTCTGCTGGAAGAGGACCTGCTCCATGTGTAGATATGAAGGGCTCATTCTAATCTAACGAAAGCACAATGATTTATAGTTACAGGTGATTATACACTGATGAAAACATGGTTTTGTTTTCTATATTCCATTCCTCCTAATATATACCCTTAAATCTTACACACTGCACCTTTAAACGAAACCCCAAATCCACTTTTTGTGCTCAGTTCTTTAGTGGTGGTGGACTGATATATCGAAACAGACTGTTTGGGAGATTATCAGACATCCAAGTCTAATCATGATAGAAATGAAAAGGTTCTCTGTTTGATAGCACACTCACTCGAGTCCATACATCATGTAATGGCAAGCAAATCTAGCCACTAGGTCAGTGTCTGCTATGCGCCACCAATGGTGGATAAAAAACATGGTTCTTCAAGGTTCTTTAGTAAAGGCAATGGTTCTATTTAGAAATATGAGTCCTATATAGAACTTTGCTTGGTAAAGTTGTTTGTCAGATTGATGGAGAATGTGTTGTATAGGGTTCCACATAGCACCAGAAAGGGTTCTGCTATTGTTACAAGCTTGACTTCATAACAACAAAAGTATCTTTTTGGTGCTATATAGAACCAACAGATTCTCCACCAATCTGAAGAACCATTTCACCATGCAAAGAACCATTTAAGCATGCAATTAGAACCTATGGTTCTAAATAGAACCATTATCTTTACTAAAGAACCCTTGAAAAAACATCATCAAAACAACATTTTTAAGAGTGTAGAAAAGACAATATCACAAACTAATAGTGCTGCTCTTGGCTGTGCTGTTGTGCTCAGTTTGTTAGTATATATGAAGCACGATTCTGATTTCTTTCAAATGAATTTGTCCAGTACTTAATCAAACGCAACAGCATGGCTGTATCAGTCATCCACCCTCCCACTTTGTAAATATCAGCATCAGTACTGATTATACTTGTTGATTTAAGTGGGTCATGGGTCAGCCTGGACATTAGCACGAACAGAAGTGGTACCTTATCAGTTGGCCAGTAAGTTTAAAATGGAATTCCAGCAATTCTTTTTAATTAGTGTAAACAAGGCCATTTAGAGTGGATTGAAAATGTGAAATGCTCTTTTCTGACTTAGTGAGTCAGAACTGTTCACAGTGGTGGTGATAGTAACCAGACGTCCACCTCTAAAAGCTCCCTGACCAAAAGTTATTACTTTTTATTAAGCTGTTAGGAAACACTGTCTGTTGCCCAATTTTCTGAGACAAGATTTTGGCTTAAAAATGTGTTTTTTAAAATGCACTCATGGTGAAGGGGTGTTATTAGGCAAAGTAGTCCCCAGAGAACACTTGTTTTTTTCTAACTATTTTACCATCAACATATATAAAACTCGACAAATAAACGTGTACATTTTGGATAGTAAATAAAATGTCTATTTTTGTGTTGTATTTTTGTGTCCTATCACCACCACTGTAAAGAAATCTCTACAGTCTCTACAGTCAACCATTTCACACCAAACCACTCTGAATGACTGTTTACATCTTGCCCATTGAATTACACAGAAATCTAGTAAAATTGATTGAATTACACTTTAAGTGGAGATGCTGAGTGTCTTTCCTTTGCGGATCATGAAGTAGAACTTTGAGCCTGCAGTCCTGGACATCAGCATAAACAGAAAGGGGTCCAAGCAGCTGTGGAGGCAGCACAGACACACGGCGACGTTGAAGTAGGCGTAGAAGTTTTCCGCTCCACTTGAGTACAGCTGCACGTAGTGCAGGAAGTGGATGAAGTTGCTTGGTGCGAAGCCAAGGACAAAGATGAAGAAGACTAAAGTGCTGGCCTTGATGTAAAGACTCCAGTCGCGGTGAGAGCGGTTCAGCTCCCAGACGATGGAGGTGTAACATGCAGTGGTCACCATCAGGGGGAGCAGGAAGCCTAACAAAGTCAGGCCCAGATTATAATAAACCAGAAAGTTAGAGCTGCCCTGGTCAACCGGAAGAACATCATGGCAGGTGGTGATCCCAAGCTGAGGGATTCTGTAACTCTGACGGACCAGGAGCTCAGGCACCATGGCGATAGAGAACATGACCCACACGGCTAGGCTGGCCCAGGCGGTGCAGGAGCGCTTGGGCAGGCTCTTGTACAAAAACGGGTGCACGACGGCTAAGTAGCGCTTCACACTGATGCAGGCTAGCGTGTGCGCTGAACAGTACAGGTTACCATAGAAACAGGCGGTGACGAGGCGACAAGCGGCCTCGCCAAACGTCCAGTCGTTGCCGGCGAAGTGATAGTGCATCTTCAGCAGGAGGCTAAGGAGAAGGAGAAGGTCTGACGTCGCTAAGCTGCAGTACAATATGGCCGATGACACCCTCCGCACTTTAGCACCGATCGACACCAAGATAGCAACGTTGGCGGGAATTCCAACGACGATAGCCACGATGTAAACGGCGGGAATGGCCCGGGTGCTCAGAGCGCCCCTGAGATACATCACCGTGCTGTTGCTGAGCAACCGCAGTCCTGGTTCAACCACTTCAGAGGGGGACGAGCATGGCAGAGTTTCCGTGGAGTTTGGAGGGAGGGGAAGCTGGACTGGGGATTGTTTGGCCTCTGAAAGTTCTCGGGCTGATCCCCTCCGTCCTGTTATGCCTGTTCTTCCCTCTGTTGGTCCCTATTTGAATGGAGAAAAGAGTCAAACAGACACAGAAACAATTTTTTTTCTTATTTTTCTTATGTTTTATTCTGGACTGACCTGAAACTACAGGCTTGGCAAATATTGAATAAAATAAAATTGAACAAAAAAATCCAGTACTCCAAATATTCCAATCTGGTATTGCTAAGTAACCCTAAACATTGCTTTGTAAGCTTCTAAAAATAAATTTTTTGTAAGTTTATCTCACAAACGTGTACAAGTAAGTTGTCAGTTAGTGAATAAATATAGACATATCAATAATCTATCATTCATTGTACAAAACACATCACTTTTGTGCTTTTTTAGCCATTTTTTTTTCAAACACAAGCTACCTTTTATGTAAAAATTCATTCAAATGAAATGGTAACACAGTTACATTGACCTCCATTCCAAGTTAATATCTTAAAATTCCAGGCTTATTACATGCTAAGGCTTATTATTCAGTAACTACATGGACTTCATTGTAAAGTACCTGATGTATTCTAAAGTTTTAGAGGTGTATAATGAAACTCCTTAAACGCTGATGGGTCCTGGCCATTTAAGGGGTTAAGAATGCTTTCCCTTCTCCTGTAAAGTTACCATTTTGGAGCTACAAGGTTTTGTTCCAATTGTGCCAATATGATGCTACAACATTACATGCCATATTGTAACAGGGGGCTACTGAAAGTATATTACTGACCTATAGGAAGCCTAGAAAACTGAACAGGACTTATAGAGGCTTGCCTTAAACCTAACCAACACCACAAACTACAAACTGTGATCTATATTTAACCCTGTTTAACACTTACCTCTTTAGCTCTCCTGTTATCTTTAGATTTACTAACATCTTTTATCCTTGGGTTCAGTTTAATCTCAGTAATTTAAACCTCTTGGAAAAATGAAAGCTCTGGGAACCCCATGTGGTGTGAACTATTAGTGGTTCTCAGACTACTACAGGTGTGGTTCTGCTAGGTTAGAACCCTAAAGCAGGGGCAAGTTTCTGAAAATTATAAAGTTGCACATTATAGTGAACTCAATGTCATCCAAACCAACCACAACAATATATAATTTATATTTATGCTTTATACAGCTTGACCAGCCTGGGGTCAAACTGACCCCAAGGAACACTGATGATGCAGGCGAAATGTGTACAGGACATTGAAAACAATCTCAATATCATCATGTTAGTGTGATCTTTACCTAGTTGTCACAATTAAATTAGGAAAAGTCATTAAATATGAAGCCAAAAAATGATGTCCACCATTTATTTAGAGATGTTTCACATCGAATGGGGTCAAATAGACCCTAAAGATAAAGGAGGGCTAAAACACTCACATAGCTGAGTGTTAGAAAGAGGACATGGTTAAAATAGCTTTCTCTTACCTCGCGTGAGCTCCAGGAGGAGTACAGTCATTATGACAATGAGGAGTGTTTTTCCCATGGCTAGACCAACCGACTAACTCAGTCCTTTCAAATCGAAAACTGTCGTCTGTCTGACTCTCACTGTCACTCTTAGAAAGCTCTCTCAGGGTGAGCGCTATGAAGCACCAAGACGCCGAGCCCACCTCCTGTTGTCAGTGTGAGACCACTTAAAACAAATAAGCCCCGCTCACATCGCACTACTCTGCTCTTTTCCTGACATGCTCTCTCTGCCTTACGCTCTCTCTCTCTCACTTACTCACTCACTCTCTCTCTCTTCTCGCCCCCTTTCTCACCACCTCCTGAAGGCCACCATCCAGTGAAATTCCCCGGCACTTACATCACCACATCTCAGTCATCTGTGCTGTTTTCACATGTCAGCTCATTCCCTTTCTCACACACTTGTACGTTCCAGAGCTTGTCTGCTGCTTGTTTTTACTACACTTACTTATTATAATCTACAACTGTATGTAATCACAGTAATACATTGTTTTTACCAGTGTTAAAGCTTATTTTAGAGCAGAGTAGCTCACTTACATAATTATTATGTCTGTATGCCTCACTTAACCCCGTATTCTTCTTAAGATTTTCCTGAATCTGACTGCCTGTAAGGCTTGTTTGTCAGTAACTACTAAAGTTATTCAGTAACATCAATTATTATTATAGTTATTAGCAACTATTATGAATGATTCAGAATCCACTATGAATTACTTAGTATCTACTTTAAATTATCCGCTTACTACTATGAATTACTTAGTATCTACTTTAAATGATCCATTTACTACTATGAATTACTTAGTATCTACTTTAAACTAACCACTTACTACCATTAATTACTTAGTATCTACTTTAAATTATCCATTTACTACTATGAATCATTTAGTATCTATTTTGAATTATCCATTTACTACTATGAATTACTTAGTATCTACTTTAAATTATCCACTTACTACTATGAATTATTTAGTATCTACTTTAAATTATCCATGTACTACTATGAATTACCTTGTATCTACATTAAACTATCCACTTACTACTATGAATTATTTAATAACTACTTTAAATTATCCACTTATTACTATGAATTATTTAGTATCTACTTTAAATTATCCATTTACTACTATGAATTACTCTGTCTACTATGAAATATTCAGAAACTACTATGAATTATCCAGTACCTGCTAGGAATTATTCAGAAACTTCTATGAATTATTAAGTAACTATAATGAATTACCCAGCAGCTGCTATGAATCATTCAGTACATACTATGAATTATTTGTAACTACTGTTAATTGTTTATAACTACTTTAAATTATTCAATAACTATTTTAAATTATCCAATAACTACTTTAAATTATCCAATAACTACTTTTAATTATGCAATAACTACTATGAATTATCCAATAACTACTCTGAATTATCCAATAACTACTTTAAATTATCCAATAACTACTTTTAATTATGCAATAACTACTATGAATTATCCAATAACTACTCTGAATTATCCAATAACTACTTTAAATTATCCAATAACTACTCTGAACTATCCAATAACTACTATAAATTATCCAATAACTACTTTGAATTATCCAATAACTACTTTAAATTATCCAATAACTACTTTGAATTATCCAATAACTACTCTGAATTATCCAAGAACTACTTTAAATTATCCAATAACTACTCTGAACTATCCAATAACTACTTTACATTATCCAATAACTACTTTGAATTATTCAATAACTACTCTGAATTATCCAAGAACTACTTTAAATTATCCAATAACTACTTCGAATTATCCAATAACTACTTTAAATTATCCAATAGCTACTCTGAATTATCCAATAACTACTTTAAATTATTCAATAACTACTTTGAATTATCCAATAACTACTTTGGATTGTCCCATAACTACTTAAAATTATCCAATAACTACTCTGAATTATCCAATAACTACTTTAAATTATCCAATAGCTACTCTGAATTATCCAATAACTACTTTAAATTATCCAATAGCTACTCTGAATTATCCAATAACTACTTTAAATTATCCAATAACTACTCTGAATTATCCAATAACTACTTTAAATTATCCAATAGCTACTCTGAATTATCCAATAACTATTTTAAATTATCCAATAACTACTTTGAATTATCCAATAACTACTTTGAATTATCCAATAACTACTTTAAATAGTTATTGGATAACTACTACTTTAAATTATCCAATAACTACTTTAAATGGTCCAATTACTACTTGGAATTATACAATATCTCTTTGGAATTATCCAGCAACTACTTTGAATAACCCAATAACTACTTTGAATTATTAAATAACTACTTTGTATTATTCAATAATTACTTTTAATGATCCAATAACTACTTTGAGTTATATTATGTGCGGAATTGAACTGCCACCATTCTCTTACACCCTTTAAAGGGTTAAATTACACTGAAAATTGATCCGTGTGTGTTCTTTTTGGCTAATGTATCCCAGAAATGAACATGACTTGCGGACTACACACAGATTGGATCGCGCAGGAAATATGTGACTCAGATTATGTCTGTCTAGTAGAAGGCTTGTTTTATTTGCTTGTGACTGTGAGGTCAGGAGGGATTTGGAGCTACGCTGGGCCGCTATCTGAAGGAAACCGCCTGTCTGTGTGAGATAAAGACGCTTCGCTGTGAGATTTTTTGTACTTCATGCAAACAAATGAGAATGTCCATCTCTGTTCCTCTGGCCACTGTTTATTCTCTAAGGACTTCACCAGATTTTAGGAAACCACTTCAATGTTCAGTTTTTCCCAACAAATGCCAACGCTGAGTTGGCTTTTCCAGTTCTAAAATCGGATTGGCTGAGCCACGGCTATAATCCGTTACTCAAAATACTTTAAATTTCCCGAACACTAAAGCTGAACTATTTTGTCATCACTATAAGCTAATGATAGAAAAAAAATACATCACATCGTTTTACGGATCCAAAATAAATTGACATTATTACACACTCTTCCAACGTGAGGATATTTCATTACGTTAATTGGGATTTTAAGTTATACTTAGTTGATTAATTTGGTGGAGAAATAGTTAATTGCAGGCCATCGACAGCGATCCTCAAGCGTTATTTGCTCCATGCTGATGTCACCTGCTTTCCCTAGCCAAGGCCTATAAGCTTGACCCCTGGGTCATGGCACCTTCTTCAGTTATTTCGGTGGTCTTCATTTTCCTGGGGGGGGCATGTATAGGCCTGCCCTGTTATCTCTGAAGCAGCTTTTTTCCAAGATCTATCTGTGCCGGCACCATCTGTAGAACCTCCATCTCTGTGTATCTATGACGCTGTTGTGTTTGTGGTGTTGCTAATATTTTCAGACCAACAGATTTAGAACATTCTGACACAGTGTGAAAGTGGGAGAACATTCTAGAACCATGTGAATGGGGAGAACATTCTAAAATGGCTTGAACTGGAGAAAAACATTCTAGACAGTATGAATGGGGGAATATCCTGGAACAGCAAGAATGATGGGAAAACATTGTAGAACTGTGTATGGGGGAACATTGTAGAACCGAGTGGGGAGAACATTCTGGCACAATGTGAAAGGAAGAGGACAATCTAGAACTGTGTATAGGGAGAATATCCTAGAACAGTGAGAATGAGGGGCATTCTAGAACTGTGTATGGGGAGAACATTCTAGAACAGTGTGAAAGGAAGAAAACAATCTAGAACAGCATCAATTGGGGACAACATTCTAGAACTGTGAATGGGGAGAAAATTCTTGAACAGTGTGAAAGGAGCAGAACAATCATGGACTGTGAATGGGGAGAATATACAAGAAGAGTGAGAATGAGGAGAACACTGTAGAACTGTTTACGGTGGGAACATTCTGGAAAACTGTTAAGTATTAGAACATTTTAGAACGGCATAAATTGGGGGAGAACATTGTAAAACAGTGTGAAGGGAGGAGAACATTCTAGCACAGTGTATGTTGACAATTTTCTAGCACAGTGTGAAAGGAAAAGAACTTTCTAGAACTGTGTTTTGGGGAGAACATTCTGGAAGAGTGTGATAGGAAGAGAACATTCTGGAACAGTGTGATAGGAAGAGAACATTCTAGAACTGTGTATGGGGAGAACATTCTGAAAGAGTGTGAAAGGACAAGAATGTTTTAGAACAGCATAATTTGGGGGGGCGAACATTTTGGGACATTATGAAAGGAAGAGAACATTCTAGAACTGTGTATGGGGAGAACATTCTAGAACAGTGTGAAAGAAGGAGAAAATTCTAGAACTGTGCATTGGGAGAATATGCTGGAACAGTAAGAATGAGGGCAGAACAATGTAGAACTTTGTATAGAGAGAACATTCTCAAACTGCATAAATGGAGGGCTACGCTCTAGAACCGAGTACGGGGCGAACATTCTAGAGCAGTGTGAAAGGAGGAGAACATTCTAGAACTGTGCACAGGTCAAATATCCTGGAACATTAAGAATGAGGGAAGAACAATACAGAACTGTGTATAGAGAGAACATTCTCAAACTGCATAAATGGAGGAGTATATTCTAGAACCATGTGTGGGGAGAACATTCTAGAGCCGTGTACAGGGAGAACATTCTGGAACAGCGTAAAAGGAGAAGAACATTCTAGAACTGTGCACAGGTCAAATATCCTGGAACAGTAAGAACGAGGGGAGAACAACATAGAACTATGTATAGAGAGTACCTTCTCGAACAGCATAAATTTGGGGAGTTCATTCTAGAACCGTGTATGAGGAGAACATTCTAGAACAGTGTGAATGGGGGAGAACATTCTAGAACACGGTGAATGGGGAAGAGCATTTAACCACTTCCCAATAACACAGGTAAGGCCCACCTGGTCACTGGTCACTGTGCTGTGGCCTTTAGAGAGAGCGTTTTTGAGAACACTTTACAGTGAACTTTGTTTAGCGGAACTCACTCTGTGTCCACTTATAGAACTTCTGCAATAATGTTCTGCTTCTGGCTGTCTGGCCTGGCTCTGTCAGACAGCCTGCTGATGAGGCACATGAGGGAGAGGTTATTTCAGCTGTTCTCTCTTTGCCTTTTCTAATTCAGTTTGTTAGAAAAACAAACCCTGTAACTGCAGTGTGGCTTCACACGGCCTGAAGAGCATCTCTCCTCGCTAAATGACTTGCTTTTGTTCTAGATAAGCGCACGTCTTGCTGTTAAGAAAAGCAGAACTTATTTGGCTTGAAAATCACGGCGGGAAAGAAAGCAGAAGACAGAGAGAAACTAAGGACGCGCTGATATCGAATTTCTGGGCTGACAACAACAACAGATAACTAGAAAGGTGATTGCCCATCTTAAGCAGTTCCCAGGTGGTTGCTAGGGTGTCAACATACAGTTACTATGGTA